TTGTGGAGATGTTTTGCTATCATTCCATCATACCCCAGTATGTCCTCTGTCAGTGAAAAAAGTTTGAATCAAAACTCCCCACGAAAATCAAAAGATCTCACCTGTTGAAGACGCCATCTATAGAAAATGTCAAAAAATGTCATTCTGATTTTGACAGATGGAGGCAGGTCAAAAAGGTCAACTTTTTTAAAGAAAATGCACCTTAATCACATCAAATCATGTCTCAGAGTTGGTCCATACATACACTTTTTCATTCATGTACTTACCAAAATCCAACCACTGGTGATGCTAATGTAATTACAATAATTGGACTATATTTTTGTTTTTATAATGCCATCTATTCGTCTTCCCACTCGGCGGAAGGATCTAATGGTTGAGTGTCCCCTAGACACTACCCGCTGATTCGTCTAGTTGTCGCGTTTCGTTCAGTGAATAAGCTGCGTGCGCGTAATTCATGAGAGACTATCCAAATGGTCATCAAAATATATAACTATATATTATAAATATTGTCCTCTATCCTTTACAATAAGTTACATTTTTAAAACGTATAATTGTCTTGTGCACCAGGCTTAAACAAATCGGGCTATTATATTGTTTATGATATAAATACTGTTTAGCAATAGCGATTCATTGCAAAAGTACCCATTAGACGGAAATGTAAAGGGATCTTAATTTATTCTATTCAGGTACAATGGAGATGTTTCAATATACCTTTGAAATCTCGCTAATTCTCGTTTACATGCAATGGCTTTTTCAAATCTCAATAAATCAGATACGAGTAGGTAGTTACCAGTTTAACCACCAATTGTTATATCACCCGTATGAATCTAATAGTTATGCAAATTAAAATATGTCTAATAAATGAAAATATTATCTGTCCAATACAAGAAAATATATTTCACTTTTTGTGATTTTATAACATGTGATATATGGGTCTCCCGGAACTAGAAGTCACATTTTCCAAAAATAACTTTTCAAAGTAAATAAACGTTTTTCAGATTTCACATATGACATCACTTTGACTGAATTTTGAAGATTCAGTGACGTGGATTTTAAGAATCTTTATTTGGTTTATTTGTTCAACAACCAACTTTCATTATTAATCAAATATGTACATTAACAGGGTCATCCGATAGTATGTCATTCGAGTGTTAGACAAATTTATCCAACACTTTTTGATACATCATGACATTAGGTGACTATTATATGGCTTTAATATTGAAGCCAATGACAGTCTGGCCAAACCAAATAAAAACAAGTGGTGACATCTATTCATTTAGCTTTATTCAGCTATATAGCAACTCCCATATCAAATAGCATCTTCTTTTGATCTTGCGAATTTATATCATGCTTCAAATGAATCTGCAACAGGGAGAAAAAAGATTATTTGTTTTGTACACATGCGTTTAAAATGTCTCTATTTCATTGCCAGCATGCCTATTTCCTCTTGAACTATAAATATGTAGGTATATGTTCTTTTATATGTGTTATTTATCTCGAAGCATGGGAGAGGGAAAATAAATACAATGATAATCGACATCCGGGATAGTTCGACTTAGATCATCAAGCTAGATTTATCTGTGAATAAGAGTTCACTCTGACTGATAGAGTTATAATTATTCAAACGATTTTTTTTCAACCAGAACGTGGAAATGAAGTCCAAAAATAGATATTTACCTCAAATAGCCTTCATTTGACCGGTCCAATTGTGTCATTGCTACGCCCAACCCTAGGGCGTACCCTGTTTTTGGTAAATGAGAATATTGAACTTGCCATTTCCCTTTACCATTCAAATTGAATAAATCTTTGTCCAATAAAATTTTGATAAAATAGTATTTTCACTTTGATTCTTGTATCAATTTATTCATTTTGAGAAATGATGGTTCGTATGTGCTACAGCTGTAGACATTGATTTTTAGCGGAAGGATTATGTACGACTTTGTTACGCAATTGGCGGGCGCGATTGGGGTAACCATTGCATATGGATCCACTATCCACGAAGATGAAAGGAGGGCACTTCGAGATTGAGAATTCTGTTGTGCCAGCGTATTTATGAACGCTAAGCCTGTGATCAAATGTATCGATTACTTATCAAAACAATCAATTAGCGATTTGTTTGAGTATCTGGTGGTTTCTTGATACGTAGACATTCGCAATATTGAGCCAATCTAATACCATCATACCTTCCCATTTATTTCAGGATATCAATTAATTTCAGCATACAAATCAATTTCAGTATACCTTTACTTCAGCATCCCAATATACTTTAGTATGCAAATTTTTCAGCATATCAAATTACTTCAGCAGATCAATTGTTTCAGCATAACAAATTATTACAATATATCAAATTTCCATATATCAATTTATTGTAGGGAAATCAAAAGATTTTATTATTTCCAATACTAAAAGATAATCCAAATGCGAGTCGGTAGTTACCAGTTTCACCACCAGGTGGCTAATTTGGGTCAGATAACATGGCAGATATCGTAAAAAGTTCCCTCAGACTTCAATATTCATCAGATATAGTGGTTCAATTTTCATATTACCCTTATGTATCTGATAGTTATATATATATACAAGTTGAAATATGTCCAGTAAAAGAAAATAATAATCTGTCCAATACAAGAAAAGATATTTCACTTTTTGTGATTTTATAACATGGGGAACCTCCCCGGCCTAAAAGTCACATTTTCAAAGAAAATTGAATTTTCGAATTTGATCATCACTTTTTAAAACCACATTTCTAGATGTAATTTTACATGTAGATGGTAAAAGCAAGCAGGTTATGAATGATATCGCATACACAGGGTAGCTACATATAAAAAACATACGCAGATGCCAATAAAGTTCCGAAGATGTATTTTTAATGTGATTGTAAAGTTTAAAACACGACAGTGTCCATATCACATTGATTGGTCAGGCCCGTAGCCAGGGGGGGTTCGCAGGGTTCGGGCGAACCCCCCCTGGCCAAAAATTCTTTCAAAATCATGCAGTTTTTCACCATTTTGAGCACTTCTCAAGTGATTTTAGCTATATTTGGGCCAAAATTGTCAAATGTGAACCCCCCCTGGAAATTTTTGAAAACTGAACCCCCCTTGGCAAATCCTGGCTACGGGCCTGTTGGTAGGCTTGTAGATGAATATGCGCTCACGCAAAGCATACATGACGGCTTCACTAAATTCCGCACTAAACAAAGAACTTTAACTTGATATGGAATCGTGAATTACAAATTTCAAGTCTGAATGATTAATTCAGAAAGTGATCGTTAAAAAGCATTGTTCATTCACCCCGAAGGCACCGTGAATCACTGTCGACTAACCTGTAGGCGAATGAAACCCCAGAAGTCAGATTCTACCTTTAAAATAAACGAATGCTTGCAAGCGAGTACTAAAGAGATTTAAACGCAGACATTTTTGATTGAGAAAAAAAGAAGAAAATATTATTGTTTCTGGAGATCCGACTGCCAGGAAACAGAATCTTATGTCGACCACCCTGCTGTATTCGCAAGATATATGTGTAAATGAGTAATTGCTGTTTTATCGTTTGTTTATCCCGGCATCTGTTTAATCCCACACTCAGTAGTAACCAATTCTTGGAATCCTACAATAATTTTGCCGACTTATATCGCCCTTTTGAAAGAAAATTGAATGACTCCGCAAGAAAGGATTGACACATAACTTCGATTGACATCCAATAGTGTAAAATAAGTTTAAAATATGTACATTTTTCTAATATTGTTAAGAAACCGAGAAAATTGTTCGTAGTTGTGCGAAATGTTTTGAATTGACAAGGGAACTCTCTATAGTATTTCGTAATAATTGTTATTACCCATCCAGTGCAATTAATAAAATAAATGTGTATAATTCATCTGATCCTAATCACTTTCAGTTTATATGGTACATAGGTACGCTTAAATACCTGATAAATTTTGATTCGATTGCATTCTTTAATCCGAGCTGATTTAATTAATCCCAAAACAAGCATTTTGGCGACGTGTTGGAACCTGGCGTAATTCAACACTCGAGGTAAGTAAATAGAAGAGTAGAGCTGAGACGAAAGTCTGGACATTTAGAAAATTTATCAATTAAATCAGGCGTAATGTGTGAAATGAAGAAAACTTGTGTATAATTAATTAACCTGTTACACACACGCCCCATGGATTCTGTCTGGATAAAATAAATCACAGTTTGGCTTGTTTTTATAATTACGCATTTTCCATAAAAGATCAATGAAAATGCTGTGTGACTTTTTTAAAGAAGCGGTTGACTACTTAACAATATCTTCTTTTGCGCAGAAATGTGTGAAAACAACTTTAACGAAGCATTGTTACCGTCTACAAGTAATCCAACTCCTAAGTTCATAATTATATTGTTTATTGAAATATTGGTATTTGCTATATCTAAGTTACTTCGATCATTTATTTTTTTCTTCAGAAACCATTCTTGTAGACAAATTCTATCATCCCTCGCAAAGTTAGCTAATCAATTAAACATGTATGATGCGTAAAGCTGACATGTATCAGCCGACATAATTACAATTTTCACCCAATTTTGTATTTGATCCCTATTATCGGGTACTTTAAGGAGAGCATCTGCTTGTCAACCTGATATTGCTACATGAAGAAAGTCAGTTATTCCAGGTAAAATTACGGAAATTGTATATAGAACGGAGCCTATGGGCAAAAACCTCGTGAAAGTCACTAAGTCTAGACTACATGGCGGACGCACTGGCCAACCGGTGTATGCCCCGGGAATTATAAACGGCAAGAGTCGCGCTCTGACCAAACACTGTTTTCTCACTCCATGAAGATCGCGAGTTGAATATAGTGCAGCAACTACATAATGGAATCAATATGTATCATTTCCTGGAATTTTTTTGCGATGGGGTTAATTAGGTCACGATTACTAACGATTCCGGACTAGGCTCATTATGGGGCGAATATGGAAAAGGATACGGGGAACCTGCTATGGCAACGTGAATCAACGTGTGTCTAGACCCGATCATCTTTCTCTATCATAGTATGCCTTTATGCTTTATTGTAAACATCACTTATTTTCATTGAGGTGCGAGACGCCAGATTTGATACGTATACCTTGAGTAGATCAGAGACTCCATAGTAAAATATTAACACCGACAGACTAACTAACGAAAGTGGTAATTAGATGAAATTGAACCGTAATTTTGTAGTAACACCTTCTCCATCGCAAGTTAGGGGTATACGTTTTTTCGGATCTTTAGTCATCGAGAGGATGTTGGAGAATGTGCTACAAACCAAGATAAATCAGGTGCATTCGCAATAAGAACTATAGATAGGAAGAAGACTTATAAAGTAGACTGGAAAATTGCTTCTTGAAATCATTTTGAATTAGTTGAGGTATACGTAAAATAAATTTGTGTTTAAGCAGATTTTGTACTGATAAGTTTGCGTCCGGACTATTCAAAGTCATTAATTAATTATAAGAGTTTAACTAAGAGACGCTGAGGTAGACTTTACAGAGCCTTAGTACAAACAAAAGTCTAGCGTTTGATTGAAAAATGCGACGAATGCAACATTGTGTGGCGATATTTGAAACTGTGAATGAGCAAGTGACTTTAAAAGTGAGCAAATTAACTAGAAACAAATAGTACAGTCGCCTAAATATAACAACATGTCACCTGGATTGCTTGTTCTCAACTTTTCGAAACATCATTTTGTAGACTGTAATCTGTGAGAACTTGTGAGGAAATAAATTGTTATTTCAACGAATTGTAAACTCAATTGGGATCGACTTTCAATAGCAATTGAGCGATACGAATGGATACAACCCGATACGGGGACACATGAAAACAGTCGGCTATTTGATACGAGGCGGAAAAGGAAGAATTTCACTGTAGATTCATGATATTAATAAAAAAACATTTTGGGCGATATTAAGGTAAAATGAAATTGTAATAAAAAAGCGTCAGATATATTATATAGTGTACGTTGAACTTTTATAATAATATTCTTTATTTTTAGGAAATTAACTTTAACCATTTTAATATCGGGTATATGTAAATATTTGTCCTTACTGACTACTTGAAACTATTATGTAATTATTTAAACACATAAAACTTATATGGAATATTTTATTTTCAGGTATGCTATAAAAAGTGAAAATGAGAACGATGGCGAAAAATATGATACAAATGACATTACAATTACTAAGTAGTTTAGTGATCTACACGAATGCAGCACATTTTCCTCTAAAATTCCAAGGGCATCGAGCCATGAGACCGCACCCATCAGACGATCTAGCTATAATTCCTCTCGTGGAGGACCCCAATCCTAAATACGATCCACAGCCGGAGGATTTAGATAATATCTTCTTGAGAACAGTACTTGGGAGGCATTTTGATTCGAAATATATGTCCCCTACTGAGCCAGCGCCATGGGACAATGGTTTTATAAAACACGATCGGGGAGATCGAGACCTGGGAGAAGCTCAAAGCGCAATCAAAACTCTCATGGATACTTTAACATTACCAGATGGTACAAAAATGAAGGGGAAAATAAATAGAAAAGTTAAAAAGAAACTTCAGAAGTTCTTATGGAGTTACACATACTGCCCTGTTGAATATAAATGGACTGATTTGGGAGTTCGGTTTTGGCCGCGCTGGATCATGCAAGGCTCGTGCGTTAAAACAAAAAGAAGCTGTTCTATACCATCAGGCATGTCTTGCCGTCCATCGCAGTCTTCGTACCTTCAAATATTACGATGGTTCTGTCGGGGTAAGCCGCATCCCTGTAAATGGATTGTAATGCACCACCCCATCATAACGAAATGCTCATGCGGATGTTAACATATCTTTCACGAAAACATCATCTCCGCGAAGTTAAAAAACGGAGAAATGGTGCGTAATGAAACTGATGCACAACGCATTCACAGTAGAATAATCCAAAATGGCAATACAATGAAAATCAGAATTCAGCAATGACTGTGCGTTTCTACCTCAAATGTATTGAACGATCCTCGTAGAAACATTTAAGAATGACTTCGGGATATTCTGAATACGAGGACGCGATCTAATGCCAAATGAGATTAACCATCTAGTAGTAGAAGACAGATACGAGGGTACAAGTATACCTAAAAAAAGCCCAAGTGTGTAAAATGTCTTCTTCGGGATATTTATTTATGACGTTTCAGGAAAAAAACATTCAAATCTAAATAATGAGGCCATGAAAAAATATTTTTCATTTCTGGTCACAAGGGTTCCCAATTCTAGTCCAGCAAGCATGGTCTACTTTTGAAATCGTAGGTAAAAAGTTAATCAAAAATCAAGTTAAATTATTTCTTGATCATTTCAGTCTTAAATCGGAGATTATATATGTCGTATTTGAAAGAGTGCACAATCTTGCTTTTATACACTTTTCAATGTAAAACCATTTCTACAATGAACCATTTTAAGAGGTACCAGGCCTGTTTGACTCTTTTCTTGAAGTTTCCAACAAGTTCGTCAAAAAAATGCAGTTCTGAACAAAATACTCAATCGGCCGGGCGCTGGCCGTTGAATCGAAGCTTATGTGTTCGATGCATTAGTGATCACGACTAGAAACAATAGTTTATTTTATGTGGCCTAAGTTATTTACTTATTTTATGAGTCAAGTTACCCTGATACTCAAATGTGGCTATTTTCAGTATCAATATCATTGACGCGTAAATGTCTTTCTTAATCTCAGAACATTTATTATTGTTTGTAAATAGTTGTTTATATTGCATGTAATTATCTGTTTGTACTTACATTTTAAAAATAATTATAATTTTATAAAGAAATTATCATTTTCACTGAAATTGTCTTTTGTTGTATGTTTTCAATTTTTACAAATATAGGGTATGTCTCAACAATATTCTTCAACCAATATTTCCGAGATTTGCATTGAGCTGTTGCGTACTCATGTGCAAGACTTAATAATTTCCTGAAATATCCCCTAAAAAACGTCTATGGTTCGTCTCAGTTTTTTAAATTCCGAAACTGGAGTTTTTCTGGATAAGTTTGTAGACACTGCTATAAAAGCATATGATGTTGCTAAAACTGTCAATAGTTAGTCCAAGAATAATTTTTCCCAGTGGGGTTCCAATATTTATTGGTCGGCCCCCTATAAGGCTTAGAGGATCGGCGGCGTTTTCAGTTTATATTCGGATGCTCAGGCTGGTATAACAACAGATGATGTTGCTAGAACTGTCAGCCACACACAACTACAACTACACTACATGGCCCACATCCCTACCTCCAAACCAAACCAAAATAAATATTTCTTCAATAAAAATAAATAAATAAAATGAAAACTACCAGTGGGAGGGATATACCAGCTGTTTTTAAAATTTCACGAGGATTGCAGAAGAATCTAGCTCGTGCGCAAGGTGTATGTAATTCAATTAAAAGTCAACCAGGTCCAGTAGAGATCAAACAATGTATTGGGGAGGGGCATATTTTCTTGTACTTCTGGCCAGATATTTATGTTGAAAAAACACGTGGTATGCAACATTTAAGTCTACTGTAGTTTTACTGTAGGAGAAATTTAACGTCGTGTAGGCTACAGTGTAACCTAAGAGAAATCGAGGGTGGGGTTTGTGATTTTGATGAATTAAATTCGCGAGAAACATTTGATATATTGGTTCGGCCCCCACCAAAGAATAATAAAGAACGGAGACTTGAAGTCCCGGATCAGCCCTGTGAGTTGTGTTATAGAGGTTATAGAAATAGAAAAATAAACATTTCTCATTCACGCATTTTGAGATCTAAGTGGTGTGAATTTGACTTAAGTATTTTAACATCTGGGAGATTAAGTGGCTTTAATTGTCGACATAAATCAACCACTTGTGAAAGTATCTTCTAAACAATAAACACATTTCGACAACATTCGAATTAAACTTCCTGCCGTAGTTTGTACAGTGTACACTCACCTAAAATTGCTTTATCAGTTCGATATGGCACGGTATCCGAGAGGGAGTACCGTTATGTTTGGAGGGGAGTGTAGATCAGTGTGGTTACACAGGGTTACTACAGATAGTTTGACGAAGCTACAATTATTGTCCTACTCATTCTACACATACTTGAAAAATATTATTTATAACAATTTTACTATTATATATTCTCTCGAATTGTATAATCATGATTATATAATCATACACTTTGGTTTCCTAACATTTAAAACGCAACACAGTCAAGACTCGACAGACGTTTTTTATCGTGTAAAATGGGTACAATGATGGTATTTCTTCATTTTATCTATATCTTTTAATGTTATTTCACATTAATGATGAGCTTCTTTTCAATCACAGAGAACATTTTACAGATCTGACAGTTGGATTGATTGTATATAAATACCAAGGAAATATAGTGGTATAATGTAGTGAAGTATAGAATAGTGAATTATTGTACACACGGAATGTCGCCCAGTAAAGTATAAAGCAGGATAGTGTAGTGTAGTGTAAAACGTGTAGTGCGGACTTTTGACGGATCCATTTTTCCATCCCTGTGTTATTCCGGCTTCTCACCTGTTTCAGTTTTTACCCAATGTTTTTGTTCTTGCCGCTACAGCAACATTTCATTTGCGGGCAATCGCCCAAGCGGCGCCTCTTCTGTTTATTTTTTCCGATCATTAGTGAGCTTGGTTACATTACAATGGCGGCTACAACAACATACAAACTTACATCCCTCTTTATTTTATCTCTTCCGCGTTCTTATTGCCACGAGGCCCGATCAAAATAATTTGAGAAAAATTGTAAAAATGGCTCATTATCAAGAAACTCATAAAAGTGATTGAACCCATTGAACTTTTACGAATTTTACGAACCATTAGGTAAAAATTACAATTAAATACTAAATGCAATTAATCATCACAGAACATAGAAGTTTAGTATATGATAAGCAATTATTTGTATATAGCCTTTTTTATTTTTATCATCAAAATATAAATCATTCGTACAACTATAAAGGTTTTCAAAAGTACATAACAAAATAAAATGAAAACTCTGAATAATTCATTAATGCATGTTGCATTAGTCAGACTTCGTTCATTTGGTTTATTTTCAATAAAACAGGCTATTTTCATTGGCAGATCTAGGGGAGGGGCTTTTTTATTTTAGGCCAAATGTAGAAGATAACAGGCCTCAAAACTTTGGGCCCACTTTTTGGTTTTAGGGGCCCAAAACCTTTCCCTCTTTTTGCCTCTTGCCACTGGGTGTTTAATTATTATCACTCGTCCAGTTAGCAGTTAGTCGTACCCTCAAACAAAATAAACCTGGATTCAAAACATTTCGCAAAGCAAACAATATTGCAAACGTTACTATTGTAAAGATCTACAGGCCTGTTCTAAAGAGTGGTCACCAAACTCCTACATACAATTCGATTCATCCTGTAATGGACCAGTGATTATATACCTAATGCAGTTATAGTGAACCTTTATATGGAACCTTTCTGAAAGATGGACTGACGTTCAAAATCCCAGAAACATATGTAGATATCTGTTGCGAACCCGAATGACAAGGGAATATGAAAATATAACTGTTTTACTTTGATTAGCATATACATTAGCTAACATTTATATTAACCTTGTTATTAAAATACAATTAACTTTACGAAATAATCAACAGTTCAAATTCTTGCCATTTCATTTTAAAATGTACAACTATCTACCTGCTACCACTGTCCAATATCTGATTTAGCTTTAGATTACTCTCACACAACGCATAATCCGACTGGCCTTTGTTCGACCAAGACATATACTGAAATGTTTTATATGTCTCTGGTTCGACCATTAACCAATGTTAAATACGTCAAGATTAAAAACAGGGAATTTCGCTCTGAACGAAAACGCATGCAGTTCAGACACTGCAAAAAAGATGGCATAAAAAATAGATCCTAAAAGTTTTCATAGTGATGGCTGAATTTGACACTGCCATGTTTCCCCAATCCATGACAGGCCTGTTCAACGGTTTTTGTGAGGCCCACTGGACCGCAACTGAACACCCCTACTCGATCAACCTAAAATACAAAGAAATGATATGAAATATGAAATTTGCCTCCTTTCGTTTTTAATTGTACTATGAAGCTTCTAAAAATACAAGTGTTATATTGTTTGAAGTCGCAATATTCTGGAAACTATAAAAGACAAAAGTGCACAAATGACTCTCAGAATAAATGGAAACTTTGGTGTTCAATTACAAAATAACTGATTCCAGACCTCAGTTCCATAAATAATATATAGGATTTAGTTGTACTGATGCCCCATTAAGACAAAACGTACGGTCAATAATGATAATTTGTGTTTATACTTTTGAAAACATTCTTTGCGCTTACATGCATACTCTACACTTACATCCGGGTGACTGGCACACACCGACGTAAATATCTGATCGAATTGGGGACGACCAAAATGTGTCACTCCTCGTAGCCCTGTGAATATACTTCTTTTTGATAGGCTTTTGAACTGTTCTTCGCAAATATACTGAAAACAAACGAGAATAACATTACTGGAAAAGACGGTTTATAGAGTTTTCACGAGACGAAACTTAATCATATGGGTTTAACGTAATAGATGAGTAATCCGATGGGTGTAGCGTAATAGACGAGTAATCCGATAAGTGTAACGTAAATGATAAGTAAACAGATGGGAGTAACGTAAATGATAAGTAATGAATTGGTCAACGGAATATATACGTTATCACATTGGTTTAAGGTAACATATAAGCAATTTGATGGGTGTAACGTAGGAGTTAAGCATCTGCGGATCATAACATCTAGATCAAGATAAGGGGTCTGATTTGGCACTAACGATGTTCACTTCATAGTTTAACCCATATGTTTGCGACAGTAGCAAAAATTCACAAATCAACAAATAGGCGAATTACATAATTGGTATATTTCTCGGCCCTATATACAATCCAACTTACAAGCATTGTGGTCCTCAGATCAAACTTGTGGAAAAACTGTGTAATGAAGCAATGTATACTGACTACGTTGTCTTTATCAATTTCCTCGACTTGCCTAAGAATATCAATCAACCACTCGAACTGGTGATGAGAACTAGTGACCCAAAGGAAATACACCTTCTTGCATATGACACGCCTTCTGCCACCATGCGCCATCATATGGGAAAAATCTTTGAGAATTGAAGCATATGGTGTAACACCTATACCGCCACCTATCAAAATGGCAACTTCGAATTTGTTCCAGTCTTGTTGTCCAGCCCCGAATGGACCATCGACCTCTACCTGTAAAAGGTTTAAGAATATGACACCAAGGTGCGTGCTTTCGCAACAATAAGGCTAGTTTTCGCATACAAGCCTAGCTGACTTACCAGATTGAGAATAAATTAAAATGGGAAAGCATCCAGTAATTCAGTAGACGTAGATGTCATTGTATAGATATTGTACTGTATTGTATTGTATTGCATTGTATTGTATAGCATTTTATTTCATTACATTGAATTGTATTCCAATGCATTGAATTGTATCATAATGCATGACGCTGTATGTATTGTATAAGATTGTACATTTTATTACTTCGTTCATATTACAACTCAAAGCATATTACTGAATCATACTTTTGAGAAATTCTTTCCTTGAGTCTTTGTCGGCTCATAGGTTTTTCTGAGATTCAGAGTCCAAGGACCAATACCCCTCACATGTACGGAGAGGTGGTCCTCATGGGGGGCAGATGTGAGCGTGAATGGATGGAACTCGTCCTTCCCCTGGTCGGGAACGGCTAGCCTTATCCATTGACCCGATTTGTACTCAAAGTCGTGTGGTCGTTTGAATTTCAACATGGTAACATCTATCGGAGGAGACAGCAAAACAGTATGAAATATACGTATAAGGTTCAGAAAAAGTAACATTAGATATCATTTTCTATTCTTTTAAAATAATTAGTAATGGGGCTTCTAGTACAGTTAACACAAATAAGGTATTAGCAAAAATAGACTACCATATTGTATTGTATATAATGTATCAAAAGTGCAAAAATGAAACACCAAAGAGTATTTTTAAATAGTAAATGCAACAAGAAAAAACATAAGCCAGTCATGAGCAAACAAAACGTAAAGTATTTAAGTAATGCTCACTTGAGGGAAGTAATTCGGCTTTGATCACATCAAGTTTGATTTTCTTTCTGCTAATACTAACTATCCTATCTAGTGCAAGGAGAATGGCAGGCCCTGTGATATAATACGGAAACCAGGGGTTCTGCAACAGGCGTCCACTTCCATGAATTATTGTCAGCACATATATGAGGACGAAAGCTTTATGTGATGTCCAGAATGCATTAAAGATGGCGCCCCTAGCAATTGGGGTTGCAAACAAGTACATGGCCCACATGATCAGATAGATGGCGACACCTGTTAGCCCCACTGGTGTCATGTAGACCCAGTATGAGAAAGTCGGGGGGTTGTCAGAGCTGGAATTGGATATAAGTAATTTATTAATTGACCAATGAAATATCACTCTCAAATGCTACGGAAATCAATATTTCGTTCTTTCCTTTTGGTATGTGTTTAACTTAACTACATGATATCAAATGGATGGATGGACATATTCATAATGTGATGGCTGTTGAAATAGATTCGCATTCAAATCTTCCACAGGAGAAATATCAAACACCCCCCCCCCCCCTCTTCCCTTGTCATGTTATCGATGTAGACTTATTTCTAGACAGAGACCCGTTATTCACTTAGTCTAACTTACTGATACACTTATATATCATACCTGAATGCTAATTCTCTCAGGAAACAAAGGTATTCAAGTGGATGAGCTGTCAAGTGGTAGAAGTTTGAGCAATGTCCTGCCACATGTGTAACTAAAAGAAAATAAAGTTTTCTCCAATAAAATACATTTCACACAGTAATAAAAATCATACAGGGTGAGCCAAAAAAGGTAACCCTAACAAATCTTAATTACTTATCGACGTAGACGTATTATCTTTTTTGGCTCACTTTGTATGAGAGAAACATTTATCTGGAAGAGTTGGTTTAATTTTCCTTCATCTTATAACATCAGTTCGTTTCTATTATACATGTAGTGTACGATCCACCAACTCATCACTTTGGTTCTTTTTCAATCTCTTCTTAACCGACTTTTACGTTGTAAAATATAAAGTAAAATCAGCAGTTAAACTAATGTACCAACTAATTAATCATGAAATCAAAAATTGAGGATGTTTGAATCCCCAACTAATAATAGCGCATGCTTACTGAACCTTTATTCCAAACTGATGTTGCAATATGGATGTTGTCCTAGATGAAGAAAACTTACTCATGAATACAAAAGTGCAATAGGCGACAAATTTATGGAAAGCCACGAAGTCATCGAAGGGTATGTACAAATTGATAGAAGTCTCCCTTAGCTTTGTGATGCAATTCCGGCACATACTGATGAGAAGGACCGCAAATGAAAACGACATTGCAGCAGCTGAACCTCTAGCAAATGGCAGCCCAAAGCCGACCAGTTGACGCATCCCAACCTCTCTCTTTTCCACCTGGTATGCTGGAAATGCATAACTTCGTAATTTATTTATTTTTTCTCATCTTGCAAAATATGCAAGAACTAGTCTGATAATAGCAGAATCATTGGCAATCAAATTTCGACAAAAGGAGTGAAAGCAGACACATGAAACAGGTAATGTATCCAAAAGAAAAGACTTCGGTTCTCTTCTTCAACTAAGCAATACAAAAAATATAACTTACTGTAAAATCGTTCTGCGAAGACACCCAGACAAATACCGAGATACAAAAGAAGTACGAACAACTGTCTCCTGCTATTTTCAATATACTGAAGACAATATCTGATGTTAGATTGTATAGGTGAGTAGACTCTCTTCACAGACTTAAACTTGATTTCTTTTGAGCTCTTCTTGTTAATCTTTGTTTTGCCCATTGCGGACTTTGCACCTGTAAGTATATTAAAACGTGTTTTTCAAGTTTATACAATTAGAAATTACATAAGGGGCTTTACAATGTATAACATACGTTGGGTTCTTTATTAAACAGTACCTTTGAAGTCGATTGACGTATTGCTGAAACGCTCCATTTGATTTCCAAGCAGCTTTTCAAAGCCCGCAAAATCTATCACATCAGCGCCTTCAAGTTCGGCCTCTTGAAACATCGATTCGACGAACTTGTCCTCCTCATCTACTCCAAGCTTTGAGTTGGCCATTTCGAGTAGTGACCTAGTGCAGAATCGGGGCAGAAAAAAATTAATTAAAATATTTTTAAATATCAAATATGTTGACGTTTCCATATAAACTTGTTTTGAGTACTTTATTCATTTCATCAACCAGTTATGATCACCCACTCCGGTCAACAGTACAGATATGAGACTTCAACAATTATCAAAAGTATAACATGGTAGCCAAATACTAATCTTAAACATCGGGTTCCACTGCTAAAGCAGCTATGGAAAGAATTAAATTACCCTTTAACCGAGGATGTCATATACGTTGTTTAACACTACAGGGTGTCCCGGAAGTACCCCCCCCCCCCTAGGCAGACATACACCAATGTCCCCATAGTATGTGTCATATATCATTTTAAAGCTTATCCAAAGTTACATTGATTTGTCAAGTATCGTGGTTCAACCCACAAACGGGAAAAAGTTACAGGCACTTTCGAGACACCCTGTATGTTGTTATCTAATCAAAGGTACATGTTCTAACTTGATCATTTGTCGGATTTCTGTGCGATCCAATGTTCCGCTTTTATCAGTATCATAGATGTTGAAGAGCAGTTTCACTTTCTCCTTTGTCGTACCTTTCAAATAAAGTTATATCTCAGTTTTGATTTTCCAGAGACCAGTCGTGCCAATATTTGGCACATCAGTCCGAGACTGAATGAGTTTTATTATGGTATATAGATTATGCAATTTGCATTATTTTACATAGATGTACATGTATCTTTACCTTCCGAAAAGAGAACCAAGGCATACGACAGTTCCCTGAATGAAACATAGCCACTGTCGTCATTATCCACAATCGAGAATAACTGCTCTACGAAAAGTGATCCGGGTGTAAGTGCCAGCGCCTCTGCAAACTCAACTCTGTTTAGTTCACAATCAACTTCATCCGCCAGTTTGTCTTGCTCATCGCCAATTGCTGTATTCTCCGAAAATACACGTCTGAAGAATTTTTCTAGTATGATTTGTCTGGATTTTTGCGTTACTGCCTCTTTGTATATGGATTTTAACGAGACGTTTGAGATACTAACTGTTTTGCCTATGTGTTTCATAACTTGCTCAATTTCGCAAATAAAGTCCTCGCGCATAACTTCGTCAACAAAATCTGCGACCTACATAAGTAAATAAATTAAAATGGTCTAGTTCCATTGAAGTTTAGAATTGTAAAAATATATGAACTGGAGGAGGTTCAAATTCAGAAAAATGATTACATAATAACTGAAACGTTTATATCTAGCTATCGAAGCAATTATTTAGACGGTACTTTGCATTCCATCTTTAAATGCACACGTTATTAACCCTACTATCACACCAAACTAGTTCTCACTACGTTCTCGAAAACGAACTTCAACTGTGTACGAACGGACTGGACCTACTAAAAACCATTTGGGATCTATTTACAAACTTCATCAAACGTACTCGAACGGGTAGGTCCTCTAGAACTTAGACAATGCTCAAAATGTTCTCATGGTCGTCACGTTCTACAATTAGAACGAGTGACAACGTACTAACGACGAGCTGGACGTACTATGAACGGAACCGTCGTACTTCAATCCTACTAGGGACGTTTTAACAACGAGTTGAACTGTCTGAGGACGTGTTGAGAACGAGGTAGAACTTATTGCAAACGGGTTTAAACTGATTAAGAACGTATTTAACACTGCTTATGAACGAGTTAGCAAAATTATAGCTATCACACCAAACAAGTTGCCACTGCGTTTTTCAAAACTGGTTCTAAACTGTGTGCGAACGGAATGAACGTAGCTGCAACTTTCTAAGGTCTATTTACGAACGTTATGAATGTTCTCAGACGGGAATGTGATTTTAGAATTTTGAATCGATTCAAAATTCGATGGCGACCAAACCGTTCTGTAATCAGGTCATGTTGACCTTCTAGACTTAGGGACGCGTTCTACGACGTTGCATACCGACGTGGTGCGAACTGAACGAACTGCGAACGAGATGGACGTATTGAAGACTGTTTAAGAATGAAGAAGCTAATTATTTCAGACATATTTCCCGACCACAGCCAGATTGAGCCCGTTCTACGACGTTTTCGTAGGACTGGCAAGAACGGGTAAGAACTAGTTTGGTGTGATAGGGGGGTTAACTTGTGACGACTGCTGAAAATTAAATTCAACTTATTTAAACATACCAGATCATATTCTTTGGGAACTTTCAGTAGAATAAAATATTTTCCAGGATCTTTGCTTTGGAAAATCTCAGCGACGTCCATCCGTTCAAATATGATTCTCCTCAATAGCGATGTGTTTTTGTATATCTTTAACTTTGCGGCTTTGTTGTCCAGATAGACCTGAACCCTCCTCGTTTCTTCTGTTTTTCCACGCCATTCCGTCACGTCTTGAAATAATAAGAGAATGGAATGTGCACTTAAAGGAATGCACTAGACTGGGTACAGAGCAGGTACAGTTATAAAATCGTTTAAAACAAGAAAAAAAGTTTATTTTGTAACTTACAATAAAATTGCCCTTCTTGAACATCCATGTTTAAAGTTATTGTCTTTCGTAAACTTCTTCTTCCCAACGATGCCCCTCTGTGTTTGTAGCCTGTCTTCTTACCAGCTATTACTGTTGCTAAATAAGCAAGGCCAACGAATACTGAAAACCGAAGGATATGACATCTATAAATACTTCTCCATCATACATACATTACGTAAAGTAAATAATATTCTGGACATACTAGGTCGATTCAGAAGTTCTAATAAAAATCCTCTAACTTAAAAGTTTATCATCCGTTTTCGGCAATATCTTCAGAGTAACTGGGCCATTTATAACCTCATATGATATGAAAATTTAGATGCTGGTGGTGGATATTTCTGAAGTTATAGTTGCTATGGTAACCTCAATAACGCTATAGTGGGACAGGGTAAAATTTGTGAAGTTTAAAATTGGGTTTCTCTTGATCAAATGATCGAAACCCCATTACAAAGTTACGTAATTCTACAAATATCTGTTTTAACAATAACTGCTCTTAATGTCCTATTCTCATAAGGGAAATTATTATAAATCATGTCTGATACAGAAAACATGAACGCTGCATGATACATTAGACAAGACATGAGACACTAAGCGTTCCGTTAAGCAATTCAGAAAAAGCGACCGAACAGAGCCAACGATTCAATCACGTTTGACTAGCACAAAACATTATGTCACAAATCTGGCATGATCTGCAATATCATCAGCAACAAGTTAAATATGTAGGTATTAGGACAGAAAGATATTAGAGCATTCTCCATACTTCCCAGATAATGCCCCCTGGACTTTGTTTGGACCCCTAATTGGACTTTGGACCGGCCGGCCAAAATAAATATTTCTTCAATAAAAATAAATAAATAAAATGAAAACTACCAGTGGGAGGGATATACCAGCTGTTTTTAAAATTTCACGAGGATTGCAGAAGAATCTAGCTCGTGCGCAAGGTGTATGTAATTCAATTAAAAGTCAACCAGGTCCAGTAGAGATCAAACAATGTATTGGGGAGGGGCATATTTTCTTGTACTTCTGGCCAGATATTTATGTTGAAAAAACACGTGGTATGCAACATTTAAGTCTACTGTAGTTTTACTGTAGGAGAAATTTAACGTCGTGTAGGCTACAGTGTAACCTAAGAGAAATCGAGGGTGGGGTTTGTGATTTTGATGAATTAAATTCGCGAGAAACATTTGATATATTGGTTCGGCCCCCACCAAAGAATAATAAAGAACGGAGACTTGAAGTCCCGGATCAGCCCTGTGAGTTGTGTTATAGAGGTTATAGAAATAGAAAAATAAACATTTCTCATTCACGCATTTTGAGATCTAAGTGGTGTGAATTTGACTTAAGTATTTTAACATCTGGGAGATTAAGTGGCTTTAATTGTCGACATAAATCAACCACTTGTGAAAGTATCTTCTAAACAATAAACACATTTCGACAACATTCGAATTAAACTTCCTGCCGTAGTTTGTACAGTGTACACTCACCTAAAATTGCTTTATCAGTTCGATATGGCACGGTATCCGAGAGGGAGTACCGTTATGTTTGGAGGGGAGTGTAGATCAGTGTGGTTACACAGGGTTACTACAGATAGTTTGACGAAGCTACAATTATTGTCCTACTCATTCTACACATACTTGAAAAATATTATTTATAACAATTTTACTATTATATATTCTCTCGAATTGTATAATCATGATTATATAATCATACACTTTGGTTTCCTAACATTTAAAACGCAACACAGTCAAGACTCGACAGACGTTTTTTATCGTGTAAAATGGGTACAATGATGGTATTTCTTCATTTTATCTATATCTTTTAATGTTATTTCACATTAATGATGAGCTTCTTTTCAATCACAGAGAACATTTTACAGATCTGACAGTTGGATTGATTGTATATAAATACCAAGGAAATATAGTGGTATAATGTAGTGAAGTATAGAATAGTGAATTATTGTACACACGGAATGTCGCCCAGTAAAGTATAAAGCAGGATAGTGTAGTGTAGTGTAAAACGTGTAGTGCGGACTTTTGACGGATCCATTTTTCCATCCCTGTGTTATTCCGGCTTCTCACCTGTTTCAGTTTTTACCCAATGTTTTTGTTCTTGCCGCTACAGCAACATTTCATTTGCGGGCAATCGCCCAAGCGGCGCCTCTTCTGTTTATTTTTTCCGATCATTAGTGAGCTTGGTTACATTACAATGGCGGCTACAACAACATACAAACTTACATCCCTCTTTATTTTATCTCTTCCGCGTTCTTATTGCCACGAGGCCCGATCAAAATAATTTGAGAAAAATTGTAAAAATGGCTCATTATCAAGAAACTCATAAAAGTGATTGAACCCATTGAACTTTTACGAATTTTACGAACCATTAGGTAAAAATTACAATTAAATACTAAATGCAATTAATCATCACAGAACATAGAAGTTTAGTATATGATAAGCAATTATTTGTATATAGCCTTTTTTATTTTTATCATCAAAATATAAATCATTCGTACAACTATAAAGGTTTTCAAAAGTACATAACAAAATAAAATGAAAACTCTGAATAATTCATTAATGCATGTTGCATTAGTCAGACTTCGTTCATTTGGTTTATTTTCAATAAAACAGGCTATTTTCATTGGCAGATCTAGGGGAGGGGCTTTTTTATTTTAGGCCAAATGTAGAAGATAACAGGCCTCAAAACTTTGGGCCCACTTTTTGGTTTTAGGGGCCCAAAACCTTTCCCTCTTTTTGCCTCTTGCCACTGGGTGTTTAATTATTATCACTCGTCCAGTTAGCAGTTAGTCGTACCCTCAAACAAAATAAACCTGGATTCAAAACATTTCGCAAAGCAAACAATATTGCAAACGTTACTATTGTAAAGATCTACAGGCCTGTTCTAAAGAGTGGTCACCAAACTCCTACATACAATTCGATTCATCCTGTAATGGACCAGTGATTATATACCTAATGCAGTTATAGTGAACCTTTATATGGAACCTTTCTGAAAGATGGACTGACGTTCAAAATCCCAGAAACATATGTAGATATCTGTTGCGAACCCGAATGACAAGGGAATATGAAAATATAACTGTTTTACTTTGATTAGCATATACATTAGCTAACATTTATATTAACCTTGTTATTAAAATACAATTAACTTTACGAAATAATCAACAGTTCAAATTCTTGCCATTTCATTTTAAAATGTACAACTATCTACCTGCTACCACTGTCCAATATCTGATTTAGCTTTAGATTACTCTCACACAACGCATAATCCGACTGGCCTTTGTTCGACCAAGACATATACTGAAATGTTTTATATGTCTCTGGTTCGACCATTAACCAATGTTAAATACGTCAAGATTAAAAACAGGGAATTTCGCTCTGAACGAAAACGCATGCAGTTCAGACACTGCAAAAAAGATGGCATAAAAAATAGATCCTAAAAGTTTTCATAGTGATGGCTGAATTTGACACTGCCATGTTTCCCCAATCCATGACAGGCCTGTTCAACGGTTTTTGTGAGGCCCACTGGACCGCAACTGAACACCCCTACTCGATCAACCTAAAATACAAAGAAATGATATGAAATATGAAATTTGCCTCCTTTCGTTTTTAATTGTACTATGAAGCTTCTAAAAATACAAGTGTTATATTGTTTGAAGTCGCAATATTCTGGAAACTATAAAAGACAAAAGTGCACAAATGACTCTCAGAATAAATGGAAACTTTGGTGTTCAATTACAAAATAACTGATTCCAGACCTCAGTTCCATAAATAATATATAGGATTTAGTTGTACTGATGCCCCATTAAGACAAAACGTACGGTCAATAATGATAATTTGTGTTTATACTTTTGAAAACATTCTTTGCGCTTACATGCATACTCTACACTTACATCCGGGTGACTGGCACACACCGACGTAAATATCTGATCGAATTGGGGACGACCAAAATGTGTCACTCCTCGTAGCCCTGTGAATATACTTCTTTTTGATAGGCTTTTGAACTGTTCTTCGCAAATATACTGAAAACAAACGAGAATAACATTACTGGAAAAGACGGTTTATAGAGTTTTCACGAGACGAAACTTAATCATATGGGTTTAACGTAATAGATGAGTAATCCGATGGGTGTAGCGTAATAGACGAGTAATCCGATAAGTGTAACGTAAATGATAAGTAAACAGATGGGAGTAACGTAAATGATAAGTAATGAATTGGTCAACGGAATATATACGTTATCACATTGGTTTAAGGTAACATATAAGCAATTTGATGGGTGTAACGTAGGAGTTAAGCATCTGCGGATCATAACATCTAGATCAAGATAAGGGGTCTGATTTGGCACTAACGATGTTCACTTCATAGTTTAACCCATATGTTTGCGACAGTAGCAAAAATTCACAAATCAACAAATAGGCGAATTACATAATTGGTATATTTCTCGGCCCTATATACAATCCAACTTACAAGCATTGTGGTCCTCAGATCAAACTTGTGGAAAAACTGTGTAATGAAGCAATGTATACTGACTACGTTGTCTTTATCAATTTCCTCGACTTGCCTAAGAATATCAATCAACCACTCGAACTGGTGATGAGAACTAGTGACCCAAAGGAAATACACCTTCTTGCATATGACACGCCTTCTGCCACCATGCGCCATCATATGGGAAAAATCTTTGAGAATTGAAGCATATGGTGTAACACCTATACCGCCACCTATCAAAATGGCAACTTCGAATTTGTTCCAGTCTTGTTGTCCAGCCCCGAATGGACCATCGACCTCTACCTGTAAAAGGTTTAAGAATATGACACCAAGGTGCGTGCTTTCGCAACAATAAGGCTAGTTTTCGCATACAAGCCTAGCTGACTTACCAGATTGAGAATAAATTAAAATGGGAAAGCATCCAGTAATTCAGTAGACGTAGATGTCATTGTATAGATATTGTACTGTATTGTATTGTATTGCATTGTATTGTATAGCATTTTATTTCATTACATTGAATTGTATTCCAATGCATTGAATTGTATCATAATGCATGACGCTGTATGTATTGTATAAGATTGTACATTTTATTACTTCGTTCATATTACAACTCAAAGCATATTACTGAATCATACTTTTGAGAAATTCTTTCCTTGAGTCTTTGTCGGCTCATAGGTTTTTCTGAGATTCAGAGTCCAAGGACCAATACCCCTCACATGTACGGAGAGGTGGTCCTCATGGGGGGCAGATGTGAGCGTGAATGGATGGAACTCGTCCTTCCCCTGGTCGGGAACGGCTAGCCTTATCCATTGACCCGATTTGTACTCAAAGTCGTGTGGTCGTTTGAATTTCAACATGGTAACATCTATCGGAGGAGACAGCAAAACAGTATGAAATATACGTATAAGGTTCAGAAAAAGTAACATTAGATATCATTTTCTATTCTTTTAAAATAATTAGTAATGGGGCTTCTAGTACAGTTAACACAAATAAGGTATTAGCAAAAATAGACTACCATATTGTATTGTATATAATGTATCAAAAGTGCAAAAATGAAACACCAAAGAGTATTTTTAAATAGTAAATGCAACAAGAAAAAACATAAGCCAGTCATGAGCAAACAAAACGTAAAGTATTTAAGTAATGCTCACTTGAGGGAAGTAATTCGGCTTTGATCACATCAAGTTTGATTTTCTTTCTGCTAATACTAACTATCCTATCTAGTGCAAGGAGAATGGCAGGCCCTGTGATATAATACGGAAACCAGGGGTTCTGCAACAGGCGTCCACTTCCATGAATTATTGTCAGCACATATATGAGGACGAAAGCTTTATGTGATGTCCAGAATGCATTAAAGATGGCGCCCCTAGCAATTGGGGTTGCAAACAAGTACATGGCCCACATGATCAGATAGATGGCGACACCTGTTAGCCCCACTGGTGTCATGTAGACCCAGTATGAGAAAGTCGGGGGGTTGTCAGAGCTGGAATTGGATATAAGTAATTTATTAATTGACCAATGAAATATCACTCTCAAATGCTACGGAAATCAATATTTCGTTCTTTCCTTTTGGTATGTGTTTAACTTAACTACATGATATCAAATGGATGGATGGACATATTCATAATGTGATGGCTGTTGAAATAGATTCGCATTCAAATCTTCCACAGGAGAAATATCAAACACCCCCCCCCCCCCCCTCTTCCCTTGTCATGTTATCGATGTAGACTTATTTCTAGACAGAGACCCGTTATTCACTTAGTCTAACTTACTGATACACTTATATATCATACCTGAATGCTAATTCTCTCAGGAAACAAAGGTATTCAAGTGGATGAGCTGTCAAGTGGTAGAAGTTTGAGCAATGTCCTGCCACATGTGTAACTAAAAGAAAATAAAGTTTTCTCCAATAAAATACATTTCACACAGTAATAAAAATCATACAGGGTGAGCCAAAAAAGGTAACCCTAACAAATCTTAATTACTTATCGACGTAGACGTATTATCTTTTTTGGCTCACTTTGTATGAGAGAAACATTTATCTGGAAGAGTTGGTTTAATTTTCCTTCATCTTATAACATCAGTTCGTTTCTATTATACATGTAGTGTACGATCCACCAACTCATCACTTTGGTTCTTTTTCAATCTCTTCTTAACCGACTTTTACGTTGTAAAATATAAAGTAAAATCAGCAGTTAAACTAATGTACCAACTAATTAATCATGAAATCAAAAATTGAGGATGTTTGAATCCCCAACTAATAATAGCGCATGCTTACTGAACCTTTATTCCAAACTGATGTTGCAATATGGATGTTGTCCTAGATGAAGAAAACTTACTCATGAATACAAAAGTGCAATAGGCGACAAATTTATGGAAAGCCACGAAGTCATCGAAGGGTATGTACAAATTGATAGAAGTCTCCCTTAGCTTTGTGATGCAATTCCGGCACATACTGATGAGAAGGACCGCAAATGAAAACGACATTGCAGCAGCTGAACCTCTAGCAAATGGCAGCCCAAAGCCGACCAGTTGACGCATCCCAACCTCTCTCTTTTCCACCTGGTATGCTGGAAATGCATAACTTCGTAATTTATTTATTTTTTCTCATCTTGCAAAATATGCAAGAACTAGTCTGATAATAGCAGAATCATTGGCAATCAAATTTCGACAAAAGGAGTGAAAGCAGACACATGAAACAGGTAATGTATCCAAAAGAAAAGACTTCGGTTCTCTTCTTCAACTAAGCAATACAAAAAATATAACTTACTGTAAAATCGTTCTGCGAAGACACCCAGACAAATACCGAGATACAAAAGAAGTACGAACAACTGTCTCCTGCTATTTTCAATATACTGAAGACAATATCTGATGTTAGATTGTATAGGTGAGTAGACTCTCTTCACAGACTTAAACTTGATTTCTTTTGAGCTCTTCTTGTTAATCTTTGTTTTGCCCATTGCGGACTTTGCACCTGTAAGTATATTAAAACGTGTTTTTCAAGTTTATACAATTAGAAATTACATAAGGGGCTTTACAATGTATAACATACGTTGGGTTCTTTATTAAACAGTACCTTTGAAGTCGATTGACGTATTGCTGAAACGCTCCATTTGATTTCCAAGCAGCTTTTCAAAGCCCGCAAAATCTATCACATCAGCGCCTTCAAGTTCGGCCTCTTGAAACATCGATTCGACGAACTTGTCCTCCTCATCTACTCCAAGCTTTGAGTTGGCCATTTCGAGTAGTGACCTAGTGCAGAATCGGGGCAGAAAAAAATTAATTAAAATATTTTTAAATATCAAATATGTTGACGTTTCCATATAAACTTGTTTTGAGTACTTTATTCATTTCATCAACCAGTTATGATCACCCACTCCGGTCAACAGTACAGATATGAGACTTCAACAATTATCAAAAGTATAACATGGTAGCCAAATACTAATCTTAAACATCGGGTTCCACTGCTAAAGCAGCTATGGAAAGAATTAAATTACCCTTTAACCGAGGATGTCATATACGTTGTTTAACACTACAGGGTGTCCCGGAAGTACCCCCCCCCCCCCTAGGCAGACATACACCAATGTCCCCATAGTATGTGTCATATATCATTTTAAAGCTTATCCAAAGTTACATTGATTTGTCAAGTATCGTGGTTCAACCCACAAACGGGAAAAAGTTACAGGCACTTTCGAGACACCCTGTATGTTGTTATCTAATCAAAGGTACATGTTCTAACTTGATCATTTGTCGGATTTCTGTGCGATCCAATGTTCCGCTTTTATCAGTATCATAGATGTTGAAGAGCAGTTTCACTTTCTCCTTTGTCGTACCTTTCAAATAAAGTTATATCTCAGTTTTGATTTTCCAGAGACCAGTCGTGCCAATATTTGGCACATCAGTCCGAGACTGAATGAGTTTTATTATGGTATATAGATTATGCAATTTGCATTATTTTACATAGATGTACATGTATCTTTACCTTCCGAAAAGAGAACCAAGGCATACGACAGTTCCCTGAATGAAACATAGCCACTGTCGTCATTATCCACAATCGAGAATAACTGCTCTACGAAAAGTGATCCGGGTGTAAGTGCCAGCGCCTCTGCAAACTCAACTCTGTTTAGTTCACAATCAACTTCATCCGCCAGTTTGTCTTGCTCATCGCCAATTGCTGTATTCTCCGAAAATACACGTCTGAAGAATTTTTCTAGTATGATTTGTCTGGATTTTTGCGTTACTGCCTCTTTGTATATGGATTTTAACGAGACGTTTGAGATACTAACTGTTTTGCCTATGTGTTTCATAACTTGCTCAATTTCGCAAATAAAGTCCTCGCGCATAACTTCGTCAACAAAATCTGCGACCTACATAAGTAAATAAATTAAAATGGTCTAGTTCCATTGAAGTTTAGAATTGTAAAAATATATGAACTGGAGGAGGTTCAAATTCAGAAAAATGATTACATAATAACTGAAACGTTTATATCTAGCTATCGAAGCAATTATTTAGACGGTACTTTGCATTCCATCTTTAAATGCACACGTTATTAACCCTACTATCACACCAAACTAGTTCTCACTACGTTCTCGAAAACGAACTTCAACTGTGTACGAACGGACTGGACCTACTAAAAACCATTTGGGATCTATTTACAAACTTCATCAAACGTACTCGAACGGGTAGGTCCTCTAGAACTTAGACAATGCTCAAAATGTTCTCATGGTCGTCACGTTCTACAATTAGAACGAGTGACAACGTACTAACGACGAGCTGGACGTACTATGAACGGAACCGTCGTACTTCAATCCTACTAGGGACGTTTTAACAACGAGTTGAACTGTCTGAGGACGTGTTGAGAACGAGGTAGAACTTATTGCAAACGGGTTTAAACTGATTAAGAACGTATTTAACACTGCTTATGAACGAGTTAGCAAAATTATAGCTATCACACCAAACAAGTTGCCACTGCGTTTTTCAAAACTGGTTCTAAACTGTGTGCGAACGGAATGAACGTAGCTGCAACTTTCTAAGGTCTATTTACGAACGTTATGAATGTTCTCAGACGGGAATGTGATTTTAGAATTTTGAATCGATTCAAAATTCGATGGCGACCAAACCGTTCTGTAATCAGGTCATGTTGACCTTCTAGACTTAGGGACGCGTTCTACGACGTTGCATACCGACGTGGTGCGAACTGAACGAACTGCGAACGAGATGGACGTATTGAAGACTGTTTAAGAATGAAGAAGCTAATTATTTCAGACATATTTCCCGACCACAGCCAGATTGAGCCCGTTCTACGACGTTTTCGTAGGACTGGCAAGAACGGGTAAGAACTAGTTTGGTGTGATAGGGGGGTTAACTTGTGACGACTGCTGAAAATTAAATTCAACTTATTTAAACATACCAGATCATATTCTTTGGGAACTTTCAGTAGAATAAAATATTTTCCAGGATCTTTGCTTTGGAAAATCTCAGCGACGTCCATCCGTTCAAATATGATTCTCCTCAATAGCGATGTGTTTTTGTATATCTTTAACTTTGCGGCTTTGTTGTCCAGATAGACCTGAACCCTCCTCGTTTCTTCTGTTTTTCCACGCCATTCCGTCACGTCTTGAAATAATAAGAGAATGGAATGTGCACTTAAAGGAATGCACTAGACTGGGTACAGAGCAGGTACAGTTATAAAATCGTTTAAAACAAGAAAAAAAGTTTATTTTGTAACTTACAATAAAATTGCCCTTCTTGAACATCCATGTTTAAAGTTATTGTCTTTCGTAAACTTCTTCTTCCCAACGATGCCCCTCTGTGTTTGTAGCCTGTCTTCTTACCAGCTATTACTGTTGCTAAATAAGCAAGGCCAACGAATACTGAAAACCGAAGGATATGACATCTATAAATACTTCTCCATCATACATACATTACGTAAAGTAAATAATATTCTGGACATACTAGGTCGATTCAGAAGTTCTAATAAAAATCCTCTAACTTAAAAGTTTATCATCCGTTTTCGGCAATATCTTCAGAGTAACTGGGCCATTTATAACCTCATATGATATGAAAATTTAGATGCTGGTGGTGGATATTTCTGAAGTTATAGTTGCTATGGTAACCTCAATAACGCTATAGTGGGACAGGGTAAAATTTGTGAAGTTTAAAATTGGGTTTCTCTTGATCAAATGATCGAAACCCCATTACAAAGTTACGTAATTCTACAAATATCTGTTTTAACAATAACTGCTCTTAATGTCCTATTCTCATAAGGGAAATTATTATAAATCATGTCTGATACAGAAAACATGAACGCTGCATGATACATTAGACAAGACATGAGACACTAAGCGTTCCGTTAAGCAATTCAGAAAAAGCGACCGAACAGAGCCAACGATTCAATCACGTTTGACTAGCACAAAACATTATGTCACAAATCTGGCATGATCTGCAATATCATCAGCAACAAGTTAAATATGTAGGTATTAGGACAGAAAGATATTAGAGCATTCTCCATACTTCCCAGATAATGCCCCCTGGACTTTGTTTGGACCCCTAATTGGACTTTGGACCGGCCTTAGGGGGATCCGAGTGTGTACAAACAGTGGGATGGATAGCTACCAGGTTGTATTAATGTAGTGTAATTAATTTAGTTTTTCAGATTTTCAATATGAGTTATGACGTCAATATAAGCTCAAATCCTTGACCAAGTGCCCCTACCGTGTGGTAGGAAGTGTGATTACAGAAAATTCTATCAATTAATCATTATGAAAACTCCATGCAGTATAGCCATATAAATTATGTAAATTGTGTAAAAATTTCAAGTGATTTCCTCCTCTTATAATTAAAAAAAGATACTGCATTTTTATCTGAACATCTGGATCGACCTTTTCCAATCAACCCTGCTATCTTTTGCTGCACTAAAGAAACTGAGATGGTTAGATTTATGAAAACAATTTTGTAAGAAGCTTTCCAGACATAATCAAAGGATGACCGAATTTTAAAAGGATTTGCAAAGTTTGTCACACAACCTATGACGTAATGAATCGTGTTGATATAGTCTTGCTTCCCAATGGGTAGCTAAAGGAGGAATTGTTGATTAGAAACGTACAGGGTGTCAAAAAACAACAGCACCCCCCTCCCTCTATAGCAAAAAGTCCTTAATGTTACATATCCTGTAATACCTCATTTGAAATATAATTTGATTCTGGAGTTACTCATCAAATTTCATTCAATAAAACGTTATATTAAAAAAGCTACATTGTTTCAAAGTTTGCTATTTCGGTACTTTGTTTGCTGCTCTGTAACTGGATAAAGGTCAAATCTTCAGAAAGTGGAATATGAAAAATAAGCCCGGATTTCAACTGCACTGAACTTATGGGTACAGTTCTGAAAAACAGGGTATAGGAATTAATGGACAAAGAGCCTCTTGAAAAAAGGTACAGTTAGGATGCAATTCTGAAGAATGTGAGGAAAGTGCTAAGAGGATTATGCAATAATACCCCTTTATCTGGATTTTTATTGAAATCATATCTATCCAGGTAAGGTGCTGTTCGAGCAGCAACTGGTGGTCATACCAACTGCTAAGAATCAGCTGTAAATCTGTAAAATTATATGATGTAAGGCTGAAAATTCTCAGGTAACTCCAGAATGAGATATGACACACCATGTAACATTAAGCACTTTTTGCTGTAGAGGGGGATGCCGTTGTTTTTTGACACCCTGTATATTTGATCCAGATAAGCAGTATTTTGCCCCCAATTAAAGGAAATGCGTATTCATTAATTCCGAGTGTTAATTCACATTTGTAATCCAGCTCATAAAATTCAAAGAGATGAAAAAATAATTTGGCAATGTCATAGAAAACTGAACAACTCAGCGTAGACTCAAAACCATAATTTTGTTAAAATAGGACAAAGTTACTTTGGAAATCAATTTAGAAATTCAAAATCACAAAATCACAAATTATCACAGGCGATGTTTACAACAAATGTCACATACTCAATGGAGATACGGCTAATGCTACTAGCGTCAGTATGAATGCCAGCCCATTCCCATCGAATGGATTGACATTGCCAGGCCTATTACATTTGGGTATATTTCCTTTGTAGCCTGAAGATTCAAATGAACACGGGTCCCCTGTAAACACATATAACATAAATCATGACAAAAACATTACGGGTCTAGATTACGGGTCGAAATAATCGTATTAACATTAGAAAATTGAAATTCAAATATTTGATATGACCATACCTGTCATAAAATCAAAGAATTTTCTATAATGACATAATATTATTAGTTACCACAATTGCAAGTGGGGGTATACATAGATGTAGATATATATTTTTATGGTGATATCTTTAAACACAATATAGTCATAATAAAAGCAACATAGTTCGCCAAGAAATGTCAATTGTTAACATCCTAAACGTAGGGGCCCATTGGAAGATGTTGATTATGTAAACGTGGTTCAATCAAAATGTTCAGATTGCGATCAAACCAATTTCGACTTCTAGCCTGGTTATAAAACTGAAGCTCGAGCAACTAACACCTTGTGAATCAAGATGGATGATACCTACAAAAATACGACTTCATTAACATTTTTATGTGTGCGTTTCATCTTACCTTGTTGAAAAAGAAACACATTTTCCTGTATTTGGCTGCTATTCATTTTCAGCGTTGCTACCAATATATCTTTAAATGTTGTTTTCATTATCTCATCTATTTCACTTGAATCTAATCTGAAAAATAACAGATATGGTTCAATTGTTTTATTTCTTCGAAGATATAACATATTTTCAGAATTAAACATGAACAAATAAAAAGAAAAATGGTTGCAAAGTACCCGTTGTTCTTGTTTTCGAACCAAAATCGGTCGCCCTCTCGTAATCTATACAGTTGATCTTCAAATATAGATGTCGCTGTTTGTCCAATATCGCCGCCATGCATCTCAAACAACAAACCTGGTAGTAGTTCTACGTCATCAGTTGCGTTATATACCCTCAATAGTTTATCATTTAGGGTACCATTATATGGTATACCAAATGACTTCCGTATTTCGTTATAGCCAATTAGTTTTATGTCACGAGACAAGGCAAGTAAGTATTGAATATGTCTTTTTCTGGTGTTATAGCTTGGACCGTGGAAGTATTCTGAAAAAATCAAATATATTTTCCCTTCTAAACATTTATTCAAATTTATTACAATAAAAGTAGGAATTAATTTGTTATCAAATGTATCGGGTGTACCCAATCGAATCATGAGCATGGTGACTTAAGCCGAATCGTGGTTCAATAACTTTAAGCCTAAACTGGCCCTTATGTAACTATCATTTCAAGTTTATTTTATTATGTCTAGTTCTATGTCCCACCAAGGATAGCCAGTTATCACCTGTTATATCTTCGATTATAGCTGCATCTTCCTGTTGAGAATGTTGTGACGTCATACCAAGAGCCAGTCTATTAAGACCATGTTTGGTTATAATTTCCTGCGAAAAATAAGACAGCAATAATTTCCTGCCAGGAGCATTATACGTATTTGTTGATATCAGTATTTTCAATACTAAATTTAATTATTTAAAGGTTCTAGGTATATGATATTATCGTTATGACTTCATTCCGGGTTACCTGCGAATCCCAGTATGCCATACACAGTCTGGATGGCTCATTAACACGATTGTTCAAACTGCAGTTGTTATCCCTGAAAATAAATTAGAGAGGGTACAAATTCGAGTTTGTGGATCCGTGTTGTTTGTACAGACATTTATTTCATAATTTGTACATGATAAATTTACATAGCCTCAAAAATAGTAGTCGGATTTAGACACATATTCCAAATATTCTTCAGGTTTAAAAAAATAAAAAGTAAAATGATAATGGGTCAAATGATGGGTTTGTGTGATATGTCTAGGCAATGTAAAAAAATAGTTGGTGCTAACATACAAGATTGGTGGCAATCATATCCTTGGGAATTTAATAGTACTATTTCTAGCATTTTCTGTATTCCATTTTGGGAGTGTATGACATGTCATTTTACAGAAGACACCTACCATGGTCCAAGGTTAAACTTCTGAATATTAGCAATTAAAAGGCAGGCATACAAATTTGGGATGTATGAGACAGTAAGGCGTAACCATGTCAGTTGTGAATGATGCAAATATCACGATCTGCAAATATTTTAAGCTGAAGTGTAAATAGTGAAAAAACTTAATTAGAAGTAATTATCATGTCATCTTGGATAAAACATGAGAGGCTATTCAAAAGTTTTAAATATCTAAATGTGAATTCTAAAGGAACTTGGAAAGAATGCAAAATCAAATCCTTTGATCTAAACACTATCAATTGATTTGTGGTTTGAACCTGTAATGTATTTGACCATACTGTCAGAATTGACAGTTATTAATACAAATTAATATATCCTTACTGATATATGAGTTATACATGACAAAACTTAAAATCACAACTTATTGAAATCAGATTAAATAAAATAAAGAAAGCCTTGATTCTTTGACACGTTCTTCAACTACCCATCAACAAAGGCCTTTGTGAATGTATATTTATTTTTCTGTCAAATGATTATTAAACCTTTGTGTCAATCAATACACTAGTTTATGATGACATTGTCACACAAGTGCAATACTATGTATGATTTCAACATGTTCGAGACTATGAGATGCAATCCCAGCTCATCTTAACATCCAATACCCATGTCTTTCCAAAGAAATGCATCGAACAATTAATATTTACTACCCATTGGCAATTATGACTCTCATCGATGACTTGTTTTGTACAATTCAGTGCTGATGTGATTTCATTATGTAGGTAATTCACTCTACTATACCTTGCATTTAGTGTTCATGAGCAACCCATTTGGCTTATCAGTAATAATCATGTTATTCGTTTTTATGTGTCTGTTCCTTATGGATGGTTTATCGAATGACTGTTAGATGTTAATAAGGTACTTTCAAAAATATACTAAACAATACAATTAGACAAAGAGAATAGGTATGCATTTCTAGTGGTTAGGTATAGTAGAGCGTAATTAGACCAGTTTCACAATCTCTACTCATCTGAGGAATTTAATATGCACGCCTAGAAATATAGCGAGTATACTCAGTAGTTTTTTATATGCTCTCTCACGGGCAATTATATTAAGATATAGATTATATCGAACTGATTTACATTTCACTGGTGATCCACTCGATTACGCTGGTTACCGAAACGGTTCGTTTTGGTAACAAAATGTCGGAACGTCGAAGGTACGATTTTTCTCTTTTCTTTATTTCACACGTTGTAGGCAGAATTCCCACGACATTTTTACCACAAACGTGTATGAGTATCATATGTTTAAGAAAATGTGCATATGTGCGAAAAAAAAGTTCAGAAGACAACAGAATCGTCGATTTAATTCTTCACTTAAGTTACATAAACGGTTTTTCGAAAAACAGTTAAGATCTGCACTTTTAACCCAAACCGTTTATGTAACTTAAGTGAGGAATTAAATCGACGATTATGTTGTCTTCTGAGCTATTTTTTCGCAAACATGAACATATTCTATAACATATGATGCTAATACACGATTGTGAGAAAAAAAACGTCGTGGGGATTCTTCCCAAAACGCGTGAAATAAGGAAAAAAGAAAAATCGTACCTTCGACGTTCCGACATTTTGTTACCAAAACGAACCGTTTCGGTAAAAAGCGTAATCGAGCGGATCACCAGTGCATTTGTGGTTTTGAAAGATTAGTCGATGCTGTGTTACGTGCTACACCTATGATAACTAGAGTAAAACTTATCCGTGATAGATATATAATAGATGATTCAAATGTTTTGCTAATTGGGAAACCCTGGTGCTTCAAACACTGCGTCAAATGTGAAATTCCAAGCAATTTCTAGACGTGCAAAGATAGTCTAGGAACTCCGCGTATCTAGAGATTCCAAGACGTGTCAAGAGGTGCAAAGACCTCGCGTGTAAAGAGCGTGTCAAGAGTTTTGATATCTCTTTGCACAGCCTTATCAAAACAAACAGTATAATTAGACCGGCCACATGTTGTTATGCCCTATAGTCGCGCTTAATTATACTTTACTAGGATGGGAATATAACAATCATTTTAATTTCGTGTTAATAATAATTTGTGTTTTTTAAATCATTATCAGAATAAAATTAATTTAAAAGTATGCGTGTGCGTGTAAGTATAGGCAATAGCTTAGTCGAAATGAGTAGATGTGTGCAGATGGAGATCGCCTATGTATTTTGCTAAATCTGACATTTTTACAGGATCATGTTAAAGATCAAATGAAAACAAGAAATGTGTTTTTCTTAGGTTTATCTACCCTGATTACGAGTGATTTTAACTTGGACGCATATTCCTAGATATTAAAACAGTTTGAATAATTAACAAAGTCCACTTTGAACCGTGTCAATCAAATTGTCAAATATGTAGATAGCACATGCAGGCCCGAATACAGGGGGGATAGATTGGTTCTAGCGACCCCCCCCCCCCCCTCCGTGACCAAAATTGCATTTTTTACCCCATACTGAGCACCTTTTAAATTATTTTGCTCATTTTTGAACTAACATTGCCAAAAGTAAACTCCCCCTGGAATTTCTTAAAAAAGTAACCCACCCCTTGGCAAATCCTGGCTATGGGTCTGAAACGCCTGAAACATGCTCTGATATAATGAGGCATATTCTGTGATCTGAGCATATCATATGGGAAGAGTTATGAATGTCAATAAGTGTGATTGTTATCATGTAATCATCTACCTTAATGTCAATACATTACATAATGTAGTAAGGCATTGTACATGTATTTAACAACAGGCACATCCTTCTTCAAAGGACTTCATTTATACTTGTAAAATACCCTTCCAGCGAGGATGCAACAGGCACAGTTACACAAGTTTTATGACCCCAATTAGATGAAATATGAGCTGGGATGAAAGATCTCAAAAATCAAGGGCTGGGAAGATTTGAGATGTCATGGTTTACTATCATGACGCTGAAACATGTGTCGCTTATTGTCACCTGTATTGATCATGATGGGGCGACGGCAGTGCCCCGAGTCTTTTTGATCTGTTTAATCTTATTAGTTACTATTTAAAATTGAATAATTTAGGACCCCGGAAGCAAAACAACTCTTTGTTATGAAAGGAATACACCATGGACAGAACCCCTCATGCCGGGCCCTCATGTAAACCATCTATAAATACCTTTGAAATCAATTTGATTTTCGATCTACATCTGAATCTCAGATGGAGAGTACTCTTTGACAAGATCAACATTTAAAAGTGTAGGAAAGGTTTGATAAAGATGTTTAATAGCTAATTATGCAGACATATTGTTCTTTCATGTTGACGATCATCGAACATAATTGCAATCAACTTCCATGATATTTGCAATTTTGAATTTTGAATTATTTTGAATGCAAATGTACTCAAGTACTATATCCTGAGTTCTGCCCGGATCCCCGAAAACGTTTAAAATCAAACTCGATTATTTAGCTAGACTTCAAAATAAGGGATTCAATAGAAACATGACATCCATATCACTGTATAAATTGTGGAATTTCTAGTAATTTTTAGACGTGCTTAGCCGGTCTAGAAACTCTGCGTATCTAGAGATAGAGGAGGGGAGAGAGGACTAATTTTATAGCTGAAATTAAAAATAGCTTATGATCTATAAATATAATATATGGTTGTTCTTATAATGAACAACTATTGGTTTAATATCTGATATGTGGACGGATATTTCTTGATTTGGTTTAAAAAGAAACTGAATGTAGGGTTGCAAAAATGAGAGAGACAAAGACGTTCGAAGGGTGGGGGTAAAATGTAATTAAAATCAAGCTGAGACAGAATGAGAATAAACATATCTGTTAGTTGCTCATGTAAACGAAAACAAATTAGAGGGTTTATTAGCACCGCAGACCAGATTTGCAAAATTGGGGGAGTGCATTTTCCCAGGATTTTAAACAATACTATATCTAAAATGTTGCCCCTCATATGCCTGGGTCATATTTGCTCCGATTCATCGGCCGGAGGCCGGCCGATTGAGTGTTTTTTCAAACATGAAAACAATTTTAAACAAAATACTCAATCGGCCGGAGGCCGGACGATGAATTTGAGCAAATGTGAACCAGACATTGCAAATTCCTTCAAAATTGAACTAGAAGTTTCAAATGAAAGCCATTCAAAGCTCCTTTCTTCTTCCTTCTCTATTGGTTAAGCAGGGGGGGGGGTGCGATCATTCACGAATCGCACCCCCCCCCCCTGGTTACGCCTATGTGTTAAAACTTTACACAATATCAATATTTAAAACTGTATCTTGTAAGTGGCTTATTAAGCATCAGATCAATCACTAAGAACCCCTCTTATCTGCCGTTTGCGTTTGGAAGGATAAAGACAAAGGGGACGCGGCTACATGTATATCGCGATAACGTAAAATCTTTATGACATATCCCTTCACCAGGGCCTACACCAATATTCTTAACACCACTTATTAAAGGATGCATGCATCAAGGGGTAGACATCATTCAAAAGACATAAACATGACCGGGTCGGTCAGGGGAAGGTTTGCATACGATGCAATTTGTACATGCAAGCTCATTTTTCACATATAAATTAATAAAGTCGATTCCTTGGGAATACGTTATTGGGTTTATAAGCGTAACGAGGAGAAGCGGTGGGTTCGCACCCCCTCCTACAAGCAATAAAAGGTACCATAAGGTAGAGGAAGAAGCTTCTAGCTCAGGTTTGAAGGAAGTTGCATCATTTTCGTAAAAATTCAAAACAAATATTTTTTGCCTCATTTATATCACGATCGCACCCCCCGACTGAAAACCTAAAATATGTTGGTGATTGCATCACCCCTCCCCCCGACTAAAAGCTGGCTACGGCCCTGGGGTTTTATCGAAAACTATATCGTCAACATTTTATCATTATGCGGAAAGTCCAATATGAAATCTTAAATGGTAAATATGTTGCATTTATGGAGGGAATTCCACTGTAAACTATAATGTGAATGTTTGATATGAATACTTCCATACAACCATCAATATCCATTCTTTTGAAATAAGATGTTACAACAAAGGGAATATTGAAAACTACAGTGGTAAGAGCATCTTTCTGACTGCTAATTATGTGTATCAACATTTTGATTGCACCTCAGCTGGAGATTAAATCTTATAATAATTTGATCAAAGGGATTGTAATTTTCCCCAATTCGCTTATCTATGTTACAATCTGTATACTTGTTATATTGTGAGCGGTATGTGTTGATAAACCAAAAAGATATGTTTTTTGGATATCAACATTTAGAAAAAAGTGTAAGATACCATTCTATATGTTTATCTTAGTGTTTAGCATAGGTAAGAATGGGGGATGGGCTGGCGGGGGTCCGTCTTTGAATAATTCCAAGGGGTTCATATATTATCACAATTTTGCTACAAAATCACTTGGAAAGTGCATGATTTGAAAGATTATTTGGCCAAGGCGTCCGCTATTAACATGAGCATGAATTTTATAAAAAAAATACTTGAATCAAAATCGAAGAATTCCTTGCCCCGTGGGTTCACCATTCACCCCGGGGGTTCACACTCGGCTCAGGTGGGGTACCCTTTTTACATTTGGTATGTCAAGCCAATGGACCCACATTTTAAGACAGATTTTTCCATTTTCAGGTATAAGAATCGGTGTGGAAAATATGTTACCCCTCAATTGTGGTACGGCATTGGTCCCGGGGCATTGGTCTAGTTGTTACACATATCCTTCATTTGAGGTTGTTTTATGATCATTTTACTCAAAGATCTGCCTTCTTCTCGGGGCATTCGATATTTCGAATGGCCTTGGTCTTATATTCTGGATATTTGGTACCCGGGGGTATGGCATTGGTTCTATATTTGGATGTTTGACATGGCATTGGTCTTGTGTTTGGACATTTGAAATGGCTTTTTGGGGTTTATTTTAGTTTGTATGAGAACACATTTAATGCCCCCCCCCCCAAATTACAAATCTACATCTATTCTCTCTATCCCAAAGGTGGATCGGAAGCATGAAAAACAGATGCAGACTCGGGACAGTTGCAAGGGGGGCTATAAGGGAGAAATTCGTTTTGATTTTGAGTCTAACTGAAATATTTTGTCACAAATATTAATTAAATACGCAAATAGCCTGTTTTATTAAATGAGACTAGGGCAAAAAATCTATTCATTAAATCTAAAGCCTAGACGATATCTTCTGTAATCAAGGTGGTTTTGGTACACTTCCGCAATTATAAAAACAAAAACATAGACTAAGTTATCAATCTTTTGTTATCATATCAGATTAAGTCAGTTTTGTCTCCGATTGTTATGCAGGTGTGTGTATCGACTCCAGTGAACAACATTAAGTGAATCAATCCTTGAAATTCTCAAATTCATTCCAAATTCTGGCCGTTAACCCCCCCCCCTCCCCCATGTCTCTTAATTACATTTATTTTGCAAATGATATATAAATTATAGATTAAAATATTTCATTTTCGAATTGCACAAAGGGCAACATGTGAAGATAAAACCGCGATCCTAAAGCTACTTGCGAAACAAAGTGGTTTATGGTCCCCAATATCATTATTATATTAATACCAATACAATGTACCTCTATGAATATCATAAATTCACTCCTTTTTAATATCAATAGTCAAACAAATTAAGCAGTATGCTACAGTTGGTTATCAATCGGAGTTCACGACCTATTGATTACTCTGTAATACAAAATTTAACCATTTTAGAATGGGTAACTCACACCCCCCCCCCCGTCCATGTCCATGAAGTACGTAGACTGACATAATAGTGTCATTTATTAATTAAACATCACTGATTTATGTTGAGACATTCAGTGCGATTATTTCATTTCTTTGTTCAAAAAGTTAAAGCACCAATTAAATACATATTTTTATCACACAAAAGGGGCAGAATACTTGACCTTGTATCAATTCATATCCCGATAATTCTTTACAAGGGAATGTTTCTTATTAAAACATAAGCAGCGCCTAGGCGTCGATTGGGGGGGGGGGTCAATCCAGTGTTCTCAGGCTATGTACAGCCAAGTATCCTGTTTATGTAAAAACCCTACGTTCCCGAATCACAATCAGACAATTAATTAGTATATTTGCTGTGTCTAGCAATTGATCATAGAATTAGATGTTGCGAAAACTATGGGAACTTGTACCTGTCTGTTTATGGATAGGCTGGGAAAGAACAGCAGAGAAAATGGTACATTCGATTGAATATGCTTGTTTTGCCCAATTGTGTATTAAAATGCCCCTCATTTATCATATGTAAGGTCACAAGTTAAGTCGGCGATAATTTGTATTGACTTAACTTGAAACAAATTACTCCGAAATCCAAATACTCATCGAAAAGTAAGGTTATCTTTATATTAAGCTAATACAAAATAAATATATAAATAGGCCTGATGTATCAGTGTTTTCAAAGTTTATTGCACGTTTTATCCTTGAAAGGCCTTTCTTTTTCTTATCATGATATGTATTTCCTTCACTTAGGATCAATGCGTCGATTAGCATTGCCTGTAACTGATTTATATTTTCAAAAGGCGGCATGAAATTGCCAAAATGTTTAAATAAGTCAATGTGTCAGCGTACATACAAAATAGTCTGTTTAATATTTGCTACATGTACTTGTTCCAAACAGTCTGCGAAAGAATGATTAAAAAATATATAAATTAAAAGTATCAGAGAAAATACTTGCAATCGTTAAAATACTGTATGTATTGCTATTGGTAATTAGGTTAGTTGTTTACACATAATTATGTTGTTCAGTGTGCCAAGAGCGTGTCAAGAGATTCCATTAATTGTCACAGGGCGTGTAAAGACTTTTTGACACGGTCTTTACACGTCTTTGCACTGCGTGTGCCAAGAAGTGCAAAGAGGTGTAAAGAGTTGAATTCATCGCGTGTCAAGAGGTGTAAATAATTGGCACGTCTAGAAACCCGGCGTGTAAAGACCAGTTTCTAGACGTGTCAAGAGTTGGAATCCCATATTTCACGCAGTGAAATGGTTTTATTTGATCATTTAATTAAGATTATATAAATTCTTATTAACATGTTATAGGATCGCATTATATTGTTGGTTACCTGAATTCAAACGAGGGCGGTACAAACGAATCCAATATGTGGATCCCAGCAACGGCAAACTCCGATGTTATATCGGCACTAAGTGATGAATCATAACCTAATAAGATAAAGAAATTAAGTGAACACCTTTATCCAAACATTTGTGCAATCGACATAGTCATTAGCGCATTTAGAAATAGTGTAATTCAATGGATTAAGGTTGTCTATATTTTCGAGTTGATATTATGATTTGGCAAGAGAGATGTAGTGAACATATATTTCCACTGGTACGGGAACTGTATTTGATTCAAATCCTTTGCTCTGAGATGCAACATGAATATTCAAATTGAAAACGTAGATATATTATTTGCGTTTTGAACGTAGATATATTATACGTATATATTAAAATGTATGATATATTAATACCTGTATAAGACACCGTTGGCTTTCGTAACAGAATAGGTAACCATTCATACATCACCGTTTTCTAAAACAAGATACCAGAAAATCGCAAGGGGTATAACTTGTCATAAAGTATAACGAATAATTAAATATATTTGTGAAACTTTGATAAAAATCCACATTTCAGACGGAGATTTATTAATTTTAGTACCTGAAGATGAGCTATAACTAAACTTCTTGTCTTTCGAAACAGCTGTTCGTCATTCAGATCTGGGTATTTGTTATTGAGCTTAGCGGCGAGATAATTGTGCCACCTATACCAAATTAGTGATACTGCTAGAACACCTGGATTATCATGGACACTGATGTCAGCAAACACTACAAATACAATGGCCTTGATTTAGAGATCGGTGTAAACTTCATCTACCACTTCCATGGTGTCCTAGCCCAAGTTTGAGCATCTGAGCCCTGTGAATCAAAAGGTTTAAACTGTTCAAAACAGAGATTATATCAATTTAAAGAACTTGTTTCTAACTTACTCCAAAGTTGCTTTGAATTCACTTTTGCATTCTGCATATAACTCCAGTGGTCTCCCGCATCAATATACCCGTGTTCATTCACGGGTGGAAACCCAGTAGTACCTTCTAGCAAGAGTCCACCCGAAAACTTGCGAAGTTTGCCCAGTAACACATGATTTGTGCCATAGATGGCACTTCCATCTAGCCAACCTGTAGCTTTGTTCACCTGTAAGCAAACATGAAAAATATTTTAAACTGAAAAGGTGCACATTATAACATATTGAATTCTTGACACAATAAATAGTCAAATTAATGTTTTATCAAAAGCAAAAATGGATCAAAGTTACAGAAAACCAGACCTTAAACTAATCTCAAATGAATAGGTCTTCTGGTGCATCGAAGTATACGACTCACTTACGAGAGATTTTGGCGACCCAGGTCCACATCTGTTATTTATCTCATACTTTGGCAACGAATATATTTTCCCTGGTACTTTACAACCACCCGAGGGGCATTCTGTTATAACAGAACCAGACCCATTGTGGAAGGCAGTTGGGCATTGAGGAGTCGAGATGTCAAGCAGATCTTTTACGATGAACTGACCTAAAAAGAGACGTTAACGTTGTAATTGATAATCTGTTATAATATGTTACATCAGAAAAAAGACACGTTTCCGGCAAATTTATATCATATTCAAATTGAAATTGTAGAATCGTGGTCGTGCTTTGCCATAATTTTATGTCATCTTGATAAAAATTGATTGAGATTGGAATTGTATTTTTTATTTGGGCATTCAATTATCTTATTACAAATGTAGTTTATGTAACAAGTACAATACACTTACAAATTATCTGTATTTTATTAGACTGGCGCTTTATATTGATTCGTAACACTAGCAGTTGTTATAACATGGTAATAGTCACATTACAATTGTTTATATATTGGCTTCAATAAGATAATCACAGACTTACCAAAATATACGAACATTGTTGTTCTATTTACGATGGAAAGTTTGTCTGACCTGCCAGCAAATAATTTGGACAGCTCCTCTATTTCGGGAAGTGTTGGTGAAGTTTTGTAGCGGGACATTACCTTGTGAATCAAAACGTCGCCTGAAAACGACGCCAGCGCGTCGTAAGTAATACAGTACACGTTGAATACAGACACGTGGATTAACATAATAAGTAATGTGTAAAAGATATTTGGAATTATTTTGAATTATCTGATGAGCAAATATTAGGGGATAAATGGTGCACCTATCACCATTAGTACAACAGCTAGGAAATCAATTATTTTCACTTTCAGAGTTAGTGATGGATATTGGTTAACAAATGACTAGACACAATCGAAATTCATTTTTACCCTAACACATCTTAAATTTACCTTTACACTGGCATACATTGATGACGTAACGTCAGACAATAAACTACCCTCCAAAAGTTTGACAATCCAACTCTTGTTAAACTAAGTGTAAAACCCTGTTTTGATTGACAAGCTTTCAGACCTAGTAATTGACTAACAGCAAATTACAAAAAATCCTGCGTACGGAGCCAATTTATGGGAATAGGTGCCAAAACTATAAAAACATACCTGCCGCTCCCATATCAAGTCGATTCAGATTATTCTTCCAGCCATCAAGTCTTTGCATCTCCATTGTCCAACCTGAAAAGAGAAATTTAGTCTGAGAATTACTATATAGAAGAATTAAGTATAGAATAAGTATAGTACAACTGAGTTCAGACACACTTATTTTGCTCCTATTACTATGTGAAATATAAGGATATTTAGGATTATTTGGACAAATATATGGATATCACAGCATTCATGAATGGATAGGCGTGATAAACAGATGTGATTTATTGGAATATATTTCGTGGTTCTGAAGATATTTGTAAAAGAAAAATACACATTTTGTGTGATGGATTTATAAATGACAGGGTCATAGGTCAACACAGAGCACATGTACTAAACTTTGCCATTATACAGTCACACTGATCAGCTACTTATTGGATTTGTTAGCTCACTATTTATAGGCCAGTACGTGTTACTATACTTGGCTGACTTCACTCAGAATATAATCATATAGTGTTTTGGGTGCAATCAACTACACATAACACCATGCCACAGCTGACACAAGCACCTATTACCCAGTATGCAACAACAAAAACAAAACCACTTGATCGATCCAGTCTACCTGTTATGTCTTCTACCTATATGTCAGTTATTACAACTAGTGTTATATCATCAAGAGCCTCATCTGCAAATATGACATTCACAGTTCCAACCATGGAAAATATGTCTGGAAGTTTTCATTCGTTGGTTTCAGAATCTCCGCATCAATCTCATTTGGACAACACAACGTCTCAATCTTTGGCTCCCGATCGAATATCATCATCATTTTACACAGATCCATTACTACCTCAACAAGACAATGAGTGTGCATCTCAAATCTCAAGCTTCAACTTAAGCGAAATTACAGCAGCTATAGAGTCTCAAATCAGCGCCTCGCTAAATAAATTAATTCCTCAATCTATCGACAGATCCATGGCGGTGTACAATCAAAGACTCTCGGACGCTGAAACATCTATTCAACAACTGAAAGATATCAATGATTCCTTCGAATCTGATCTGATGCAGGCCAATGATGAAATCATTGGTTTGAATAAACGTTTGGCAGACATTGAGGCAGATTCAAATAGGAATGAACAATATTCACGGAAAAGTAACATTAAGATAACTGGAATTGAGGAGACGGACAATGAAGATTGTAAATCATTAGTTCTTGAAGTTGCCCAGCAGATTGAATCAAATATTTCTAGTTCAGATATTGATGTTGCACACAGAGTTGGACTTAGAATACCAGGTCGAAAGAGAGCACTTATTGCGAAGTTCAACTCAAGTGATGCTAGACAACGTATGATCAAAAATAGAAAGAAACTTGCCAAATCTGGTATTGCTATCCATGAGGACGCCACTGGAAAGAATGTCAAACTGATGAAAACTGTGAGAAATATGGATTTTGTGAAAGATTGTTGGATGTTTAATGGGAAAATTTTCTGTTCTTTTGAAGGGTTTCATAATCGTCACCGTACGGAAGTGGACATTAATTCTAATCCTCATGAGATCTACCAACAACTTGTGAATAGCAAATCCAACAAGTAGATTGATTTATCGATTGAATTTCTATCAACCATGAGAAAATGTCTAGGAATACAACCTAATATCATCATTGGAATATATTATATATGATTTTTGAAATTATATTACTTTAAACGTTGATAACTCTTTGATATTCTACTACTCGAATTATATATCATGTATGACTTTACTTCAGTTTGGTACATTCATTCTTAATATTCTGTATTTCATATATGCTGACCTTTGACACCATGTGTTAGTTTGTTTGTTTTTTCAAATAAATTGTTTGAGTCTTAGTCTTAGTGTGTATATAAACATATGTCCTAATAGATTCACATGATCCATTCACATCATCTGAGATATTTACAGTTAAGCTTTCAATCACTTGTAAACTAAATTAGTGTCACTTTCATATGACTACTTCTGATAATGGTTCAAGATCTTATGTTAATTTTTGTACACCATATTCTGTTCTCGTATGTGTGGGTATAAGCGTCTGAAAATGACGCCACCTACTATTTCTAATTATGTAAACTATATATGTTATAAGCAATAAATGAAATTGAAAATTGAAATTGAATTCAGGCATTACGTTTATCAACAATTCTGATGATAAGAGTGTTTTCATATTCCGTATAATAACTTAAAGAGGCTATTCCTTTCTAACACAAATTTATTTTTGTGGAGAGTCATGTCGCTGCAATGTATATATTAAAGGCTTACTGAAAATAAAATATAACGCTTTATTAGACTTGCGGTAACATTTTAAAACATCATATACATATATTTTTATACTAGAGACGGGAAATTTAGCAACGCACTTATAGCGTGCTTATAAATCACTTATATGTTTATAACGTATAAAAGTTTGTGTACTACCTCATCATTTGATGCGTTGCACTATCCATTCATAAGGAGCCATAAGTTATAAAAAGTTATTTAGAAGTAATTAAATACTTCACCATTTCAAAGGTTTTAACTTGATAAATAAATAGTAATTTACACAAAATTTTAATGTGCGTTAGGTCAGGTACCACAGTTGTCACAGTAACGATATTTTAAATACAGGTTGATCATCAACTGTGTTTTCTTTTGAATATTGTATCCATAAAATATAACCTTCATGAAGTGACGTATAAGTCTTTTGCTTGCGCTCGTCTTGTTTACTTCGCTGTTACTTGAAATGAGAAACTAAAAATGCTACTTTGTACAATTTGATTTTTAAGACCGATTGTTTCAAGAGAGATGATGTCGATGATAACGTTCAGCTGTTAACATGTACAACAAGAGAAGTAGTTATCCTTAATATCATGTTGTTCTATTGGTAAATAATATGTAAGGCCTCGTATAAAATTTAAAGATAATAGTTATAGTTATCCAAATTTTACGTATCATAATTTTAAACGTATTTGAGACAGTTTTTGAAAACTAGGCCCCAATAGACCATAGTATACTAATATAAACATTTGGGATATACAATCCCCTCAATAAGATTAGCCACATAGCACCCCCCCCCCATCGAACTACGTGTTAAAGCCTCTTTTTAACTTAAAACATTTTAATGATTATAAGATTGCACCATATAATCCTAAAAAAATATTTCTCATTTTCAAGGATTTTCATGGATTAACACCTACGGTAGGTATTGTTATTTTTCAGAATTCAGAGGGCTGGGAATCATTATTACGATTACTTTTGAATAATATAAATGCTGTTTTAAATAGGTTTCCTGTTTGCCAATTATTTCTCAAATTGTGTAACTGTTACCCCTTCATTAATCCAAGAATTATATATTTTAGGAATTTCCCATAGTAGCCTAATCCAATGGAATAATTCCAAGCATATTTTATGATAATAGGAAAGATAATTATAGGATATCCTATGATTTTGAGGAATATCATTTTTATCTACGAGGTGATATTGATATCTGCACGAGAGAGCGAAGCGAACGAGTGCATATATCAATATCACCGAGTAGATTAAAATGATATTCTGAAAAAAATCATAGGATGTTCTTATTATCCTACACTTACAAGGAGTGTACTAAATGTATAATATCATTGCAAAATGAATTCCATGGCAAATAGAGTCAGTTTGGCGGGAAATCAACAAGCGGAGTATATCGTCACAATATCCTCCGCATATTGGGTTTTCCGGAGTATATCGTCACGATATCCTCCGCCCGGAGTATATCGTTACGATATCCTCCGGATATTCATTTTGCCAATAAATATCAAATTTATTTTTTAATGTTATTATACATTTAGTACACTAAGTGTAGGATAATCATTAATACACACCTAATTGGGTTGTGATATAAACCAAAAAACAATAACTTAAGGTGTGTATTCTGTCAATATCTCAAAAAACATCACACCATTGGATTACTGTGGGGAATTTCTCAAAGAGAAAATTCTTGGGATGGAGTACCATTTACACAATTTAAGAAATTATTGGCATACATGAAACCTATCTAAAACATCATTAATATTATTCAAAAGTGATCGTAATAATGATTGGTCCACAATCGATTCCTATCTAGGATTTCAATGTCGCTCTCATCCCAGTGAAAACTTTTGAGTATCTAGGATCGGAATCGTATCTAATCCCTCGTTTTAGATGTCCCTCGTAGGCTAAACCAAATACAAGTATTTCTCTCTGGGTTAGATAACCTCATTATACAAACATAAACTATTCGAAGCTCATTGTTTGCACATTCCATTTGCGTCAATTTTCAGTAAGCTTATCTCAAACATATCAAGACCAACAAATGTACTGTAATGGATATGTTTACAAAACAAATAAGTTCAGAATAAGAGGAAATGTTGTAAAACTTACCTTTTGAACTTGAAAATATGATGAGAAATGCCATAATCTGAAGGAGTAACATCCTTAGTGTATTTTTTCCTCATCTGCGCTCCAAATCAGTTAGAAATTAATGCGTTCACGAGCCTAACGCAGTTTGCCAACCAAACACTTTTTAATTCAATTTGAATAATGTTCGATTTTTGTTTCCCTCGTTGCTGTATTATTGATAAAATAGTATGTTCTATCTTCAGACGGATTCATAATCATATAACATGCGGCTTATTAAGAATATTCACCGATAGTTAAATACACATCCCGAGAAAAGCTAGCATTGATTTTAAGCTAACGTTTCGACAGTCCGTCGTGAGTTAAAGTCACTGACTAAATGTTTGCTATGTGTTATATGACATTAGCTGTTCGTCTTAGCGATAGTCAGCTCCGGAATATTTAACCACTTCTACTGCGATCTTGATGTGTGTGCTCAGTTAAACATTATCTAGGTTTCCACAAATGGACGCACGACTCTAGTGTCGGAGACAGACTGAGATAAATTTTGCTCCAGTGATATTATGAACGGGAGAGAAAATCTCGTGAAAATCGCAGAATTACATGATTATTCGAAATAGTACTACGGAGTTCATGAATAACGAACAAAAATACATAACTTTGATGGCGAGTTGGTCATTCACGCAAAGGACTAAGATAACGTGATAACAAATAAAGGAAAATTAATCTTAAAGATATCCACAACCACTTTTGAGACAACATTGATATATCGGATTGGACACTTATATATACCTGTCAAGCTGCACGTTTTCAAATTTCCCGACTTCAAATTCAGATGGACTGAAATAAGTTTATGACAACACTTCAGACGTGACAAAACGTAACGTAACGCTTGATACACGTAAATTCTGACGCATTATTAGATGCATTCACTTAGAGTCTAACCAGGGTTAACAGCTGATGATTGTATCGTAATGGCAAACAACTATGTAGGCTCGGTTCAAGTGATACTGCGAGAACTGATTTTCTAATATTTGAGTAATTTTGATCAAAAGAATTGGGCCGAAAGAAGGAGGTAGAAAGGTAAGGTGTATTGCTATACACGAATTATTTACGTAACGTACATTACGGATTCGTGGGTTATGGTTTTGACCCACGCTGAATTCTGTCTTCTTGATTACTATTTGTTTTGGCAAAAAGTGACTTTTCGTTAAAAATCTTGCAAAATATTAGGATTTTACGTTAAGTTCATTTTTCTCAATTTCATAAAATATTTTACAAGAATAAGATGCATAACTCATATCAAAATGATCGTAGGATAGTATCCCATGATTCCAAGCTGCTAAATTGTCTCTATGTGTTAAATGGTGAGAGCCAGTTTACAAATCGGCTCTCATCATTTAACTTGGAGCCAGTTTTGAAATATTTAGCAATGCATTTTTACGTAACAGAAATACGAGGCATAATCTATTCTAAATGTATGAAAATGATGAAATTCATCGATATCTATGACTAGAATGGATTTTACACTTCTGAATTTTGGCATAAAAGTATTTTTGTATAACAAAAACTTGAAATGTATTAAGATTGGCAGTGCAACATTGGTCAAAACAAACAGTTATGCCAGTTAAGTAAAGAGGTCAAATGTCATTAATTCCAGTCCGGGTATACACTAGGAAGGTCAAATGACGTATTCGAAGGCCAGGGCACCATTGGTCAAATCAAACATTTATGCCAGTTAGGTAGAGAGGTCAAATGTCATTCATGCTAGTCCGGGTATACACTAGTAAGGTCAAATGCCGTATTCAAAGGCCAGGGCACCATTGGTCAAATCAAACATGTATGCTAGTTAAGCAGAGAGGTCAAATATCATGCTAGTCCGGGTATACACTAGTAAGGTCAAATGACGTATTCAAAGGCCAGGGCACCATTGGTCAAATCAAACATTTATGCTAGTTAAGCAGAGAGGTCAAATATCATGCTAGTCAGGGTAGGCCAATATAGAGAGGTCAAATGGCGTATTTAAAGACCAGTGCATCATACAGGTCCAATGTCAAAAATTTGTGCCAGATAAGCAGAGAGTTAAATATCAGAATTGTAGCTCAATGTAGCCGGAGAGGTCAGTAGTAAGCATTAAGGTCAAATGACGCATTAGAAGACCAGTGCATCATTGGTCAAATCAAACATTTATGCCAGTTAGGTAGAGAGGTCAAATGTCATAAATGCTAGTCCGGGTATACATTAGTAAGGTCAAATGACGCATTAGAAGACCAGTGCATCATTGGTCAAATCAAACATTTAAATGCCAGTTAGGTAGAGAGGTCAAATGTAGGTCAATGTAGCCGGAGAGGTCAGTAGTAAGCATTAAGGTCAAATGACGCATTAGACGACCAGTGCATCATTGGTCAAATCAAACATTTAAATGCCAGTTAGATAGAGAGGTCAAATGTCATAAATGCTAGTCAGGGTAGGCCAATATAGAGAGGTCAAATGGCGTATCTAAAGACCAGTGCATCATACAGGTCCAATGTCAAACATTTGTGCCAGATAAGCAGAGAGTTAAAATATCAGAATTGTAGGTCAATGTAGCCGGAGAGGTCAAATATGCTATATATTTACTACAGGTTTCCACTTACTAGAGAGGTCAAATGTCATGAAAATATGTCAGCGTATCCAGAGAGCTCATATGTCTTATATGTAGTCTAGTGTTCCACATAGGTCCAACGCCATAGATTCATTTACTAAAGAGGTTAAATGTTATATATGTAGGCCAGGAAACAAATCAAATTCAATATACGTATGACTTTCACTAATCTGCTTTGTAGAGTAAATAACAATGAATGGTTGGCACAATGAAGGAGCAGCATTGATATACCCAGCTACCAGTGCGTTGCTATGGGGAGACTTAAAGACAGCGATTGTCTGCTATATTTTCGTAGTCATCACTTTGTCTTGTCTCGCTGTGACAGTTGGGTTAAAGTATAAAGAGGTTGGTAACAGCTCAACATTCACCGCCCCTTATTAACCATATTCAAATCCTCACTCAAACCTCACTTACTCCCCGACTTACTCAGTCATTTACTTCGTGCGCATGTAGCAGTCACACATTTTGCGATAGATGCGCAATATTTTGAATTTGAGGAGACAGAAAATTCGATGTTGCACGGTCACCAAAGTGTGTCACTGTGGAGGCCAAGGCTTTTGACAAATATCAAGACAGGCGCAGTTTACAACGAACCTTGAAATTAAAAAAAATATTTCCATGCTATTATTTCGCGCCAGCCCCATGGGCCGGAAAGGGGATACGCAAAGGACGACCTTGAGGTAACCGCTGCAGATTTTCGAATGTTCTTTGACCGCCGTATCCTACAGTTGATCAAATGTGATTGAGTCATCTTGGGATATTTGGCTCAGCGTTAGACGATAATTTATCAAATATATGACAATTCCATTACGAAGAATTTCAGTACGTGTATGCATATGCGTTTGGTTATTTATGATAATAAGGGTGTTAGACAAAGGTCAGTTTTAGAAAAAACACAACGTCAATAATTGTCAGAAACAGAAACGTCATGCTGATTTCAATGTTCTCATATGCATGTAAATGCAATAAACAAAACTATTTTACATAAAATAAGTGTTTCCTAATTAAAAGACGTGACATTGACTGCCTCATAATTTGATAAATGATATCCCTGTCTGTTTTGTAGCGATTTTACAAGGCAGTTGGAATACTTGGCACAATGCTTGTTGGTTTCTCAATCGTGCGTAAGTACACACTAGACTTGCCTAATGTATAAAAGGGAGACCAAATGCAAGAATATCAATACAAACTGCAGGTTGTACCATAAGTTTATTTACGTAGATTAGAACTTAAACTTTAACGCCTTTATTTTTATCAGTACAGCTTTTCGGTTGATCTTGAAAAATATGACTAAGAGACATTTCTTTTCTTTTTTTTCTTTTTTTTATAATTTTTTTTATTTCAAAGAATAAGCATGTTAAAGCAATTGCAAAAACAATTACAGTACAGTACAGTTTTCTTTGTTAAGTGTAAGTAGCTATGTAAGTCATTTTTTACTCCCTATATCATAAATAATTCAAAAATGTGAGAGTAATTCAAAACTGATAAATATGGAATAAATTTCAGTGACTGTTACAAGTAACGGATGGATGGTTGGATCAGTACGCTCGCGATGCTCATATTGGGACTATGGAGGACGTGAAATAGATGGCGCTAATATCGGGGTCAACGTTGGGCTTCATAGCGTGAATATTACCTTAAAAGGTGCGTATATTTCATCGCCACTGTGAATAAGTCTGTGTCGCGACACTTATTTCTAATTAGAAATAATGAGTCCCAAGTACGACATTCACTTTACTTTCGTTACAATACTGTGGACAGTAGGGAGGGGGTTCGGAGTCCCCCCACCCCAAATGATTCTTTGAGTCCCCCCTCTCTCCCCTCCCTTAGTCGGCACTATGAAATATCCTTATGACAACGTTATATACGCCGTATTAATAGAAAACGAATAGAAATATAAAATAGCATAGAAGTGTGGATAAGGTATCATGAATGACTAAAACTAAATTAGCCTTTAGAATGTGCATCCATGGAACTATGTTTCAGGTTATGTTGATGGCAAGTGGATCTACAATAATGAGCGTTACTCCTGGTATAGTAGTAAGTGTGACGTTCAAGCCAGATTTAACTATGAACTGATACATCGTGAGGTATAACATTCACAAGTACCCATTGTGTGCTTTCTGGGATATTGGAAAATACACATCGTATGTTCAGAGTCAAAAAGATGTATGTGAATACAAAATTCCACTGAGATACAACCTTTTGGCGCTGATCATACGACATGTAGCTATAGGGGTCAATATTATTCCCGAAAGTTGAAAGCAATGTATTACATTTTAGCTTGACCTCACCCCTACAATGGCGGTTTACAACTCAGATTTATTACAACTGGATATTCGGTTAGCACGTTTTGAAGTCCTTCTCAATTTTGAGATCTCGGACGTGTCCAAGCATTAGCAGATTTTAACATGTGTTTCGGTATGAACATTGGCAACCTACTTTTTGATTTTGATCACATTTTAGTTGGTGAAATACAAAATGAGTTCCGAGTTGCCATGGTGAGGGGGACCCCAGATGCTATAATACATACCCTTGGGCACTTCCTGCCCGATGAAGGGGGACTAAGGTGGGGGAGACGGCTAAGAACCGCGGGGTATTACACTAGTGCTCTTTTATGGTTAGTATCATTAGCTGCGTTCAGTGCATTGTTGCCCTTGGTAACGAAAAGTAATTCGTACTTATGTTTTGTAAATTGCATTAATTTGATGATTTGGAAATTCTATGTGCTTTGGAATCTCTGGCAGTAACTTCTTCTTTCATATATTTGAACAGAGACATTTTTACACCTCTCCGCCAAATTGAATATTGGCCAATGACCTGTCAGATTAAATCATATTTAGTGAAATGGGTGGTCGGACATGTAGTTTTAATTGTACTGTTTTCCAGATCGATAGTGACTGACATTGAAAATGTTTTCCAAAGTTCTTATTTTAGATCTTCAAGATCAACCATTCGATACAACCGTGTAAGGACGTTGTCTCAAAAAATTATCAGGCTTCCCTTGAAATCTCTTAATGGTTAAACGGGTTTCTTTCCAAATGAACTTTTTTCTACATCTTTGATTCGCATCTATATATCAATTTATCATATTATCTTACAATTTCCATATGCCATTCAATTCGTTATCAACGACCACTTGATCTGCATTTCTACTGCTCCAATAAACTGTTGATTCACAGGAAACATATTTCAACGCAGGAAATGCATCTAGGTCCTAGAATTGACTCTAACGTTATTATACTCAAATCAATTTTAAGAGTAGATAACGAATTCACTTTCTAGTTCCTGTTATAACGAACATTTTATTAACAGAGGGGATTTCGTTTATGTTTAAAGGACTAGCTTAGCGTGTTGGTTCCTCTCCAACCTTATTCTATTCATTGCCACGGGGACGTCCGCCTGGCATTTTATGCTCACTGGAACGCTAATGATTAGCGCCGTCATCTCCTACTGTGTATCAGCCCCAAATGTTCGTATTGCCTACGAAGAACGGCAAATGGTGCTTGCGTTTGGTTGGGCGTTTTGGGTCGTTGTGGTAACAGGTGGGTAGAGTGGGTGGAGTCACGTTAATCTAGCTTTTAATCATTTTGATATTTAAATAATTAATTTCAAACCTAACATACCACTTAAAACTGAGCCTCAAGCTAGTATAGCACAAACATGCATGCAGCATCTAGAAGCACAGTCTGTCAAAAGGATCTTTCAATTCCAAACAGTTGTGTAGCCAAAATAGCCACTACGTAGCGTTCAATAAGTATTGGTCATTTTGCTTTTGTTCTCTGGCTTCTATTAAGATTTCCTGACAATGAGCAATTGTCAGGATATTTAAATACTATAAGGTCATATATCCATATATGCGTTTCATATGTTGTGAACGTTTCATGAAGAAAAAAGCAGAAAGAAAACAAAAGTTAAGCAAAATGAGCAATACTTATTGAACGCTCTGTACAAATCCCAACCCAGTCAAGGAAAATAAGTGTCCCCAGGTTAGGACCAGTGATAATGTTCAGAGACGTTAGGAAATTTAGTTGTGAGAACAAATGGAAGAGGACAATGTGAATGGTACATATAGCCAAACTTGAAGATGCCCATTGATTTTGTTATAAACAAGACACAACAAGGACATGTCTGAGGTGCTTGTTAACAACCCAGCTATAGTTACTGTATAAAAATAGAATACTTAGTTAACGAAAACACAGAATGAAATCCTGTGCTAAGAGGGGCTGATGTGAAAAAGTCAGTCCACCCCAGCGGGGATCAAACCACGACCCCTCGCTAACAAGGTGATCATTTGATCACGCATGGAAGATGATGTTTAAAGGCAGCTTGATAGCGTTGTTTGAGTCCATAGTGCAAAACTTGAGCAAGAACGTAACACTGGTAAAACGAAATCAGTGCAGTGAACAATTGATATGATCTTAGATATCGTAAATATCCTCTTTTGGTCAGTGTGTTTAAGTGTGAAGAAAGCAGTATGAAGAAAAAAGAATACTTGGTAACAGCCCAATCATCATAAGATAGCTAAACTTAGGTATATCACTCTTTTTGATATTCTATCCAAGTGTGCGATATTGTACACCCCGTTTCTTACTTTCAGGTTCACTGACCTTCATTGTAGGATTCCTTCTTTTAGTGACGAATAACTGTTTTCCTGAGAAATTGGTAATGATTGGTTTAGGGGATGATTCGGCTCAATATACAACTGCGGGAGAAGAGAGCCTTGGTGAGGGCCGTAAAAAGGTACACCCTTTCAAAATATACATGATAAGATTTGCAAAAATGTTTAGCCCTGGCATAACCAATAAATTCACTGTGAAAGGTACAATACCAAAAACTGTACATGTACATAGAACAACGGAATATTTCATTATCGGATTTGTTTGTTGAAGTTTTACTCGGCTACATTTCAGGGAGGCAAACAGAACGGTCATGGGTTTGTAAATGCTGGCTATGTACAAGACACATCTGACAGTACATCATCTGCTGCTCTACGCGTTGAATCCGAAAGGAAGGACTTTGATGGCCAGTTGAACGGCAGTCAAAACAAAATTGAAGATCGACGAGTCTCTTCTGATGATACACATGCATCAAATGAACTAGGTACATTGCATATTGAGATGGACACAACCACTAATTATGAAGAGACAAATGAGTCGACTATTGATGACGGGAAGGCAACTAATATTAGGATAAGTGAAACGGATATATATACACGATTGTGATGTAGCCAATGTGATATGACGATAAAGAATTATCACTGTGATCGATTAAGACTTAAACTAATCGATGACAATGACATCTATATACATATTGGTGGTGCAGTAGAGCATACGTACAGTATAGATGTGAAATAATAATATGCATATCACAGAATAAGTCTGCTCAAATAGCTACGTAAAAAAGTCTTTATATAATCAAAGCTCCATGACAGTCTAATTTTTTATTCTGTTCTAGGCTAACACAGTTTTTGGAATTCAAATTAAATGCTTTGTTAAATGTGATGCAACGTTTTTATTCATCCCATACTTGGACATGTTTTGGGTGTATAACGGTAAAATGTTTTTAAAAGATGTTATAGCAAGCTTTACATCTCGGTAAACTTAACTTGCACATATCAATCAACTGCGCATGTTTTTATTCAAAATATTTATAATATTTGACTTGTTGACATTATTTTGGAAAATCTGTGTCGTCTCCTCGTGTTTGGTGAATAGTAAAGAAACACAAAGTAAAACATTATAAAAAGGTGGATGTACTAGTATAATCAGGTATACATTAAGACAATTAAGATGATAAGTGTAACTATCTTCATCGTTCTAGTTTGATACCTTCGTCTGTCTAGCCAACAATTTTGCTGGATTGACTCGTTTTGATCTTCTCAAGTAAATCCAAGTTTTTCACAGCAAACGATTTGTCTACAAAGAAAATATAACTAGAGTAATACGGTAAACACTAAGGAATCATTAGAAAAAGAGTATTGACAGTTATAGATATTCTGATATTTGTAAAACCTAAGTTACTCAACGTGAGGTGGAAAATAAAACTAGATTAGTATAGATGGCACCGTATAGATGTATCTTTACCTAGGCAATATCCTCTGATATAGACAAAGTCATTGCAACAAATGGTGTTCTTCGAGGGGCAAAGGGGTGTGGTACCAAGTTTATAACCGATCTTTTGTACGTATCGTTGTCTAGTCCTAAAAAGAAGGAAATAAGTCACTTTTTATGAATTTAGAACTTTGGTAAGAATAACAAAGGTGCCCGGAAATGAGGCACATTTTCAAAGATCATTAAAATATCAAAGTTTATGGAACGGTGAAAATCTAAAAGTATTTATTCTCGTATCTGGTCCTATTGATCATACCATTTTAAGCTTGTGTAAAGTCCTTACCTGTAACCCTTTTTCGAAGTATCAACACAAGATCGTCTGTTTCGAATCCCACATTTCTTATACATCGTAACGTCTTGCGCAACGTAATTTTCCTTTTCACTGTAGTAAAACTTCACCACTGGTTTTGGTGGGGTTATGTTGCAGCAGAGGTTTTTGCTTCAAAGGGAATAAAAAGTTTTAAATAATTTAAAATTGTTTTACTAATCTTCTGTTCACGGGGAAAGTTAATATGTAAATAGCATCACAGACTGTAAATATGGGGCTATATATACAGGGTGGGCCCAAAAAATTAAAACAATTTTCCATCCATTGTACCTTTTTGTAAGTCATGTATTAGCTTACCCTTTATTGCATTCGTTTGATTTCGTTTCTTAGAGAGAGCTTCATCTTCAGTTTAATGTAAGTTAGTTATTAAACTAGATTATGCACGCATGATAGTATTATCTTCAATAGTTTAGGGAATTGAAAAAACATTCATTGTCAACAGCTTGTGTAAGGAAGGATATACAAGCCCAATATTTAATTACTCAACGCAAGGGTTTCCTAAACATGTCCTCCATCCACCAGAGCAATCGATCCGAGCTATTTTGACAGTCATACATGGCTTAAATGATAGATTTTGAGACAAATTGTGCCAGTTTTGAGGTCAGTTACGCTATATGATCAAAGAGAGACATGTCTAGCTACTCCTAGAGATAACTACATATGTTGTTATTGATCTAAATAGTGTTGAGACCATTTGAAGGGCATATACTGTATGGTATGAGATATTGTATTTTCAGCAATGATGTAAACAGATAAAATTTGACATTTTTCATGGCACACACAGTATATAGATCATGACCATAACAAGTCAAAATAATCATACGTAGATGATTTTATCTTTAATATTTTCACAAATAATGTTACCATTATCTGAATGTTTGCAGTGAATTGATTGAACTGCAATAATAAGCAAAATTCAATAAATAGATGTTCCAATTGTTATTGGCCCACCCTGTATAATGATCCAAGTACAAATACTATATTTTTCGCTTCCAATTGAACACTCAGAAAATTGTTTGGATTTTTGTAGATAGAGCAATAATTGGTATAGGGAGGTGATTTGTATTGTAAAGACAGAACCAACGCATTTTTAAAGCATAGATAGCCATCATGATTTGAAACTATAGATGTAACTTTTTAAAGGATATTTTACCTAATCTAATCTTAGTGTGTCACTATTATAAAAGTGTAAATCCAAATATATTTGAAATAAATGAAACATGTGAGACTTTTTCTTGCGGCATACTGGTTAAGATATTTTAATATATTCGCCCTGATTGATTCACATATAATTATATTAGATAAGAAGTGTACCTCTTTCCAACATCTACAGTTGATCCCAGGTTTCTGAGGAGTTCTTTATTTGAAGTAACAAATGCACTTTCTTTAAATACACAAGGAGAAAATTTTGTAATATACATTAATCATGATCACATATAGTATAACCCCATGTAGGTATATAATATTTTTATGACAAATTAATGAAACTTTATGTCTAATAATTTGGGTACACGTTTGTGATTTTCATTAAGTATATCGATCCTGTACCAAAAACCTCTTTAATTTTGACTAACCGACGCAATGTCCATGCACTGCAACAAACCCGTTGCAACAAGTCACTTTGTTTGCAGGGCAAGTCACTGGTTCTGTCCTGGTATTTTGTTTGCTTTTGTAGACATTTTCCATCCTACATAAAGAAGAGACGGGGCTATTCTTGGGACGGTAGACATATTCATGAAAAAAATGCTACGTCCGTGCAAACGTATATTTAATTGAATTCATATTACAGGAGCGGTCAAATGTATATTTAGAAAGATTAAGGCTGTCAGCATTAATTTATCATATACGATATTTCAGCTGAATTGAAGAATATTAAAAAAAGTTAGAGCATATAGTGCATTACTTCTGGGAAAACCCTCGTACAAAATGAACACCATCGTTCATTAGATGAGCAGTATCTATTTTGCCTCACAATATACATGTACATGTGTCTAGCTAAGTTTAAATACACTTTAGGGATTGTAACACTTTGTTTACATATATTTGTTTACCTGTATGAAACTTTATATTCCAAACATTTTCTAAGGTTCCTTATACCACACTTCTTATACGCCGTTGAAGTGTATGATATCCGTTGTTCACCTGTTTTCACAGACGTGTAGTAATTGACCTTCTTAGATGTTGGAACTCTGCAGCAGGTATTTTCCTTGGCTTAGATAAAAAAAAATGCATCATAAACAGAAGTCTGTAAATAACAAATTACGACAGAAAATTATTCAATATTTTATTGTTAACAGCCTGTAAGTTGCACCACCAACAAACTTTCATACAATAATACAACGAGAGTTCTTTTTAAATGCCAAAACTGGGTGGCATTCGAGCAAATCAAAGGGGCGCGTGCACTTCTTATAATTTAAGGACAAAATTAATGCATTATGCATGTGGGTAATTTAAGCTAGTGTTTACTGGCAATGGATATATGACGAGCTCTCATTTTCGAAAGTGGAATGGAATTCTCATACTGAATGAATGTTGACTTGTCAAATAAATGGACACAGTTTTAGCAAGAGTCTTATTTATTATAGTCTTTATATTATATTTATTTTGAAGCTTTTCTTAATACAGATGGTTTAATGGAAATCTAAGCACAAGTGAAAAAGAAAAGGACCAAATGTTGAAATGGAAGAAAAGGCAAACTCTAAGTGTACACCAGTGATACGAAAAAACAAACACCATATGTCCCAAAACAATGATCTTACGTGAAAAGAAACAATGTCTAATACCCCCTTTCCCCACCATTCAAGATTATAATATCACAATCCACATCCAGAACACCAATAGGGCCCTACAAGGGGCATGTCATTCATACTGATGTCATTACAATACATGTTGAAGAAAAATAAGAAATTGATAGCCAATACTCAATATTGCCAATAAATCAAAGGTGCATTAACTACAGACATCTATACATATGAGCTCATTCTTAACCCCGTCATCTTATTGAAAACAAAATACTTACTTTTGCAATAGCCTCTAATGTTGACATATCCTTTGCAACAAATTATTCTATTTTTTGGACAGGGTCGTGCTTCCATTCTATATGCCAACTTTTGCCTGTACGTGGTTACTTGCCTATGAAACAACATTCAGAAATGGTCAAGCAGGGGATTCTAAAGATCTCATCTTTGGCTCCAGACGGGATTTTGAGCAGGGACTAAGAAAATATTACGATAAAAAAGAAGGGGTGTGGTTTTGACACGTGCTTTTCATTCTAAAAGTTGACATGTTGTAATGTATGAATCTAATTTTGAGGATCTATATATGTACCTATAATGTATTAAAATTATCTACCAATTGTTTCATTCTCTAAGGGAATCATCGCATTATGATAGGCAAATCGCTCACCTATATCCATTTGCATAGGACAAGCAACTCTTCCGGTTTCTGATTCCACATTTTTTATATTGACTGATGGTAGCTGTGACTGATTTGGTGCCAGCTTTCTCAGTGGTATAATATGAAACCTTTTTTGGAGAGTCATCAACTGAGCAACATGTGTTTAGCCTACAATGTTAAAATTGTTCAAAGTATCGCTACAGATTTCAGACTGTCACATGTTATATGTTGGATTTGTGCTATTTTCTGAGGATATGAAATGGTGCGTCTGTTAAGCCAATGCGTTAACTCCAGGACAGAAATTTTGGGGAAAATTTGGACTTTGAGACAGGGAATGGTCTAGCATACGCACTATGTTTAAATTCTCACAAAACAGTCACAATCCAACATATGACTGTCTGAAATGTGTTGTGAAACTCCCTGTGCCCTTTTCTATTGTTATACTACTACATCCTCAATGTAATATTTTTTATTTGGTCATTTCCTCTTACATCCGCGTAGATTATGAAGTGGGCGTCTTCGAACATGGATATACACTGCAAATGCAGGCCTCTTAGACTTCAACCAACTCAAACATCAGTTCTGACCTCACGAACATCCCGAACATATTTCTCCACTCTCGCAAAGATATCCGTGCTCGCGAACCACTATGTATCTCTGTGTGCGAGGAGAGAAATATGTTCGGGAACGAGGAAATGGTGGTGCGCTACTTAAGATTTCACGTTCGCGATGTGTGAATCATGGTTCAAGTGCAAGTTCGCGAGGTTAGAACTGATATTCGCGTTGATGGAAGGTTAGGAAGCCTGAAATGGGAGAACTAGAAACAGATTTTGTCTCATTATGAATAAGATACTCACGAGCCCTTTTGAATAGCATCTAAGTAGTCAACTGCAGTATCATCTGCCTGTAAATTGAAATAAATTGATGTGTTAATGTAGACCCTTGTACTTACATAAGTTTCACCATGACCAATATCACTTATCTGTACTTATATATGTTTGAATTGAAACAATTAAATAAAGTCCTGTATTTTGTTATGTTAATTTACCTGAATCTGACTGATGCACACCAAAAAGCCCACGACTACAACAAGTATGTTCATGTCGCCGCCAATGTGAAACTGAACACGAGTTGCAGTATACCATCATACACTTAAACTTGCATAAGAATAGTTTATCAATATCTTTATATCTTTAACAGGACGGATAAGATTAGGATATACAGCGAAGAGAGAATACATGTTTCATAACATATTGTTAGTGAGTGGAATTCTCGCACAATATGGACATGTTTGTCCACTTTGTGTAATTAAATGACACGAAGATACACAAAAAATCTGAATTGGAGAAATTGGAAATGGGAGCATCAATTTCAATCTGAGAGTTATCATCTTGACAACCATTACAACAAATGCGATATTGGTTATATGGCGGAATGCAGTTACGTGAAAGGGCATGTTCTGATTGGCTGGATTTGGACACACCTTGCCTATGTGTGAATTGAGCTATTGATTGACCCACATGATCATGAACTACTTTCGGCCAAACCTTTCCTCAAAAATTCTTCCACGGGGTTTCTGATATTTTATGATTTTAAGAGTCCAACGAAGTACTTATCAGATAGTATTTAAACACCTGTTAAAGCATTGCGCATAATTTACAAGAAATATATAGGATGGGGTAAAAATCATAGCGTTTTTTTTATTATTTATAGGCATAATAATTCACGCCTAAAAGAGAAACTTCCTAAAACTCGATGCTCGTTAACAGTTTTGACTTATTCCATATTTCCAGGTCTGCTTGACACTTTTTACATTTACCGTTGTTGGCTTATCAATTAAAGGAAGACTCTGTTCTCTTTTCCCAATATACCATTTAAGTCTGGACCATGTAGATATGAGCATTTTTATATGACTTATACCTGTATCATACATATAGATATTCATGATTGATCCACCTCACTATCGCTTGTCTTATGTAGATCAGATTACCACTTGTTTCAAAAGTTTAAAGAATTGCGATCTTGACTGATGAAACCACTATGGAATACCATGGCCCTCTCTTCTTGCATCATACAGAGAGGTTTTTAGATGCGATGTGTATCAGAATGGATGAAAACATGATCTGGGTAGATCGAATAAGAAAAAAAACATAGATTTGTGCATCGCTGTTCGTGAGTTCTGATTGAGAGTGAATATGCAGCAAAACCACCTTTTACATCATATTGGTGGGTTGATGATACAACCCACTTGTTATTATACTACAGGGTGGGCTAAAAAACGTTCACATTTTTTTATTTCAATATTTTTGAAAATGCATGGGTTTCCATTCCATTAAACTTTGGCAGGACATGTAGAAATCAATCTTACAAATATATTATAAGAAGACTGACTAGCCCACATTCGATTGAGTATCATTAGGAGTAGTAACACAACAAGAGTAAATATGCAGCAAAACCACATTTTACATCACATTGTCGAAGTATTGATATCTCCCACTTGTTTTGTCTTTTTGATTACGAGAACCTCTTTAAAATCAGACCCATTAAAATAAATGAGGGAACAAAAATGTGATTATGTGTCTGAGCATCATATTTTCAAATTATCTATTCATATTAAAACATATAACTTTCTGGATAGTTTTATTTTGATATATCTCCGTTGATCTGCCTAGCCGACAATTCTGGTTGAAGTGCTTGTTTTGATCTTCTCTAGCAACTCCAGGTTGTTCACAGTAAATGATTTGTCTAAAAAATAATATCCAAAACGTCAACAAATATCCAAAACTATCCAAAATATGGTAAACACTTTGAATATAATTAGCAAAGAAAGTATTAATGGAAATAGAAATCTCGGTATTTGCAAGTCACCTATAACAATCGGATTATGAAGAATATAAAACAGAATAATTACCTAGACAATATCCTCTTATAAAGAGAAAGTCATTACAACAAACTGTGTTCTTCACGGGGCAAAGGGGCGTGGCGCCAAGTTTATAACCGATCTTTTGTATCTGTCGTTGTTTTGTCCTAAATTAAAATGTAGATCTTAGGTCGAATACTTTGATCAGCTAATATAGGCGTTTAAGTGTTCAGATCACTATGTATGGATACTTTGGTAATATGTCCAAGATGTTTCAATGAGTCTAGATACATGCTTTCTAAGATGTCACAGAAGAGGGGGAAACCCCAGGATTCAGAGAAGACCATGCATATTAAGTACAAATATGTATTGGGAAGACATCGTCGCTGATTGGTCAAATCGACAGACAATAATGAAGTCACTCAATGGTGGTTTCAAAATTACCCAAAAACGCTTAGAATCATATTATGTTAATTTCTGGCGTGACAGTTAACCAATGTCATAGCTTGTTATTTTACATCAAGATAAAGAAAGTTGTAAAGTGTATGCTAACGTCAATTAAAACATCACAACAATGTGTGGTATTCGGAAACTAACCGGTGAAAATTCGAACAAACGAAAGTGATAAGCAAGAGATGTCTGTCATCTCTAAGTGCTGGGGGTTTCCCTCCTCTTATGTCAATAGGTCCATGTAGGTCACCAGTTTATATTATGTTTATTTGATAATACTCAATATATCTAATGGTAAACGCATACAGTTTTCGCTTAAGTTGCAAGACAAATGGATAAATGTGGATACATTTTGTCTAACATTTTGATAGCTACAGAAACTGTTATCATTCCAATAGATTTACGAGTATGAAAAACATTTTATTTATCATTATTGTAGATAATCCACCTAATCTAAAGATGACATTTTGAATCGGAATTTCGACATTTCAAAGTTGATGATATGACGATTATATCACGATTCTACTTTCATGTATGGCATGTTAAGGGAGTGTGTATGTGAGCCTCTTACCTATAACCTTTTTTCGAAAGATCCATACAAGTTCCTCTGTTTCTAGCCCCGCATTTTTTATATATGGTAACGTCTTGCACAACGTACGTTTCCATTTCATTGAAGTAAAACTGCAACACTGGTTTTGGTGGGGTAATGTTGCAGCAAAGGTTTTTGCTTCAAAGAATGATAAAATGACTATTGTAATATTTATATAATTCATGTTTATGGGGAAACTTATTAACAAAGTGCATTAAAGCCATTAAAGTGCATTATAGCCATTAACGAAGTACATTATAGCGCCACTAAGCGACGCATTTTGTATGGGCGATTGGTCATACGTTTAGGTTGGCGTTTCGATTTAATATGCAAGCTTAAACTCCCTACTATTTACTTAGACGTTTTGGTTATTATACAGTCCGTATCAAAAAACACAACAAGTAGTTATATCGTAAAATCACAAAACTAGTGATGACTACATCAATTTCATTCAATGTACCATAAAGCCACATCCCCCTCTTTGCAATGATATGTCATTCATTCACATGTTGTCACTGTTGGTTGAGAAATCCTTCCATTTACACAGTGGGTCAAAATCGGCTCTGAAACAAGTTTTAGATATTGCAAAAATCAGTCCAAGGGCTAAGTGCCAATGGAAGTTCCTCTGGCTTGAATTGTTGTGATTTTTTTCTTTTGGAGCTATCTCAGGAGCATCTGTGCTCACAATTCCTCCACCAGATGTTGCAAAACCTCGAGAAAGAATTGCCCATGGGCTGCTTTTCTCTGCTTTAACCCATAGATGACTCAGGGCTGAACCATACATGACGTGGACAGATGAGCGCATCTTTATGTGCAAGGATGTGGTGGCAATTACCCTTTGCATTCGTTTGACGTCACTTCTTAAAACAGAGCTTCGTCTTCTGTAGTTTAACTAGACTCTGCACGCAGGGTAGGTGGCAATTTGGAGGGGTATAGGATGTATTCTTGCAAGAGTATGAGAATGAACACTTTACTGTCTATGCCACACCTGTCACACCTTCTTCCAATAGCCCCTATGCCCCTTGTACTGACTTTTGCAATGTTTAAAACTTGGGTCCGAGCTGAATTTTGCCCCACTTTGCAAAATTAATGATTATTCGGCCAGCCATGACTCCCTGTGAATGAATGATATTCCATTGCCAAGAGGAGTAATTTGGCTTTTTGGTACATTGAATGAAAAGGATGCAGTCAGCAATGGTTTTATGTTTTCTTCCAATATTGCATCGGGCTCACTTTTGCGATATTTATAACTTGGTCCCAAGCTATTTTTGGCCCACTTGGTAAATGGAATGATTACTCGCCCAACCATGACCAAATATCAATGAATGATATATCATTGTAAAAAGGAGACACATGGCTTTATGGTGCATTGACTAAAATCAATGCTGTTATCACTGGTTTTGTGTTTTTCCGAGATAACAATCTGTTGCGTTTTTTTTATACGCACTGTATATGGACAAAAAAGTGTACCTTTTTCCAACATCAACAGTTGATCCCAAGTTCCTAAGCAGTTCTTGGTTTGAAGTAACAAATCTAGTATCTAAAAATACATGATGCTTTTTAAGTTATAGAAAAAATCGTGTAATAGTGCTGCCACACAGAGGCGAATTAGCTAAATGCCCTCTCACCTTTATATAATGCATTCAAATAATACAAGATGGATTAAGACACGGCGTACGACACGATAGAACTGAATGAGGATGGTAAGGCCAGTAATTGAGGACCAGGATTATACCAGGTATAGATTCGGTCACAAAAAGTCGACACCAGTGTTACTGAATCATTCACGCGTTGTCTTTTTCACTGATTGGTAAGAGGCCTTTTAGCTCATCCGACTAGATGTGAAGGTACCTAACAATACATTACCAAAATCACATTTGTTGTCAAACGCATCGTATACAAAAATATTTTCAGTATTTCGACCGAAGGGTATTAAAGGTAAGAATGTAAGACACTTTTTTCATAATGACTTCTTGGTATTTTACAATACTTTCACTTTTATGACATAACTGAAGAATATTACAATGTGGTATGATTGATCACATGAAATAAACCAATTTTTTATTTGACATCCGACTATGTCCTCAATGGTCAGTGTGACACATAATATAAGTATACTTTTGTGGTTTTCACTCTATCCTTTGACTAAAAAGGGCTAATTTACCGACACAATGTCCATGGACTGCAACAAACCCGCTACAGCAAGTCACTTTGTCGGCTGGGCAAGTCACAGGTTGTGTCCTGTAGTTAACTTGCTGTTTGTAGACATCGTGCGTCCTGTGAATGGAAGAGACAGTGTGAGAGATGTGCATGCGCAAGAGTGTCCCGAGATTCTTCGAATTTGCATCCCACTCGAGTTATTCCATATGTTTTGGAAATAATAACAAGTCATACATCGGAAGAATTTTCCTTATAACAAAAACCTTTCTTTTTGTTTTGTTAGGTTGTAATACATTTGTTTGCATCGATTTCCTTTTTGCTCACCTGTATGCTACTGAATATTCCGAACATCTTCCACGGTTTCTGGCCCCACATGTCTTATATGTAGTTGAACTGAAAGAAATACTTTTTGTTCCGCTTTTAACAGAGGTGTAGTATGTGACGGTCTTAGATAAGGGAACTTTGCAGCAAGTATTTTCCTTACCTATGATAAAAAAAACAATTTGTGAAGCATGCAAGTCAGAAAATAGCAGATTATTACTGCAATTAAAGACACATAAATATTCATACAAATTTTCTTAACCTTCTGGAATTTGCAATATCAAAATAAACTATTTATTATGTTTTTGTGAAAATACAAAGATTTGGAAAATCCTTGAAATCTTTCGGCAAGTCTAAATTGTCTTCATCTCGATATGTACATAAAATAACCCCTGAAAAACCATAGATATTGTTTGTAAAATACTAATTGATATGCAGAACAGATACTTACACATAATGTACTATAAATGGTACACAGTCTTTGAATCACAACAGGAGATGACTGAAGGTCTTACCAAGAAATCTGATTGGTTCCTAAATATCGGTTATCTTGGTGATATAAAAATCTTCGGTTGCAAATCATCGATGCTGGCACTTTCATAAATGAGCTTATAGTTTATCTTAACCCATTTTTCTTGTGAACTGACTACTTACTTTTGCATGAGCCCCTGATGTTGACATATCCTTTGCAACAAATTATTCTATTTTTGGGACAGGGTCGTGCTTCCATCCTATACGCCAACTTCTGTCTGTACGTGTTTACTTGCCTATGAAACAACATTCAAAATGGGTCGAGTCATTTCAATGTGATCGCCATTTTGATAACTCAAATATCAGTTGACGGATTTGGTTCAAATTTAATTATGTTTATGCCTAGATCAGGAGTCATTTCTAGTATATCATTACCGTGAAAACACAATCTTTGATAACTCAAATAGCGGGAGATGGATAAGGCTCCAACTTTGTATGCTGAAGCCTAAGGAAGAGGGCCCTCTGCTCGAGAAGAGATTTTCAAGATGACAGCTTAATTTCAAAATGGCCGCACTTTTTGAAAAACGTTATCTTTGATAACTTAAATGCCAGTAGACAGATTTGGTACATATGCTGTGATCAGCATGTGATCTTTGATAACCCAGATGCCAGTTGATAGATTTGGTTCAATTTTATTTGCTGATGCCTAGGAACAAAAGAGCTCTGCTCAAGAAGAAATTTCAAAATGGCAGCTAAATTTTTTGTAAAATAACATAACACCGATATTGTCAGTATCAAAATCCATTGAAGATAGCTCTTAAAGAACACATAGTACAACTAATTAGCTATGTGATTACTGTGCAGACCGTTCACTTTTACGTATTATGTTCCAAAACTTCGTCAAATTGCTGTTGTCTAGTTGATGTTTTAAAAACCATTTTCTCACCTATATCCATTTGCATAGACAAAGCAAGTCCCCCGGTTTCTGGCTCCACATTTTTTGTATTGATTGATTGTAACCGTGACTGATTTTGTGCCAGATTTCTCCGTGATATAATATGAAACCCTTTTAGGGGAGTCGTCAACTGAACAACATGTATTTAGCCTACAATGTTAAAAGTGAGCAAGGACTGGAAATAATAGACGTGTACAATAAGACAATATATGATTGCATTGTGATTATTGTATTGTATTATTTGAATTGTATTGCATTTGATTGAATGCATTGTGTTGTTACGTACCCATATTGTCATATATTCACCTTATTACTTATTTATTTATATGTATTATCATCAGAATGTCAAATGAGCTTGATTGACCATGAGCATGTGCTTCAAACGGAAAGCCTAAAAATGATCCTATGTACTATGTATACACTATATTTAATAAACTCACGAGCCTGGTTGAATGGCATCTAGATAATCAACTAAAGAATCATCTCCCTATAAATTGAAATAAACGTACGTGTTAATATCGCGATTACATAAATCCGCCATCACTATTCTGGTACAATTCTATGTTTTGACGTTCCAAAATTAGAAATATTTTAGCTTTGAAATGTATTTAGGTATTTTTACCTGAATCTGACCGAGGCACACCAAAATCCCAACGATTATAAAGGGTACGTGTACCGCCATGTCGCCAACTATGTTTAGCTAAACTCAGCGGGGTAATTGATAAGGTATACAAAGATAAGTTATTGACATACTGATGTCTTATCAAGGATGGGATCGACAATCGACAAAATGGGATGAATATTGTAAACTCAGGGGCGGGTCTGTAAACTAACAAGGGGGTGGAGCACGTTTCAAATCTGGAAAAAATAAGGCCCCTAAAACTCTCTAACATTGAAAATTTGAAGCCAAATCTCTTGATAATTCGGCCTAAAGTTAGAAATAAGGCCCAAAAAGGCCAAGTAACACCAAAAAGCCCCACTAGCGGGGGGGGGGTCGAAACTACTGGAATTGTAGCACCCCCGGGTTCGCACCATTTGGTAATCTTTGTGCACTTAGTAGATAGAAGTGTATAGTTTGGCACAAAATTTGTTTGTACCATTGATAACGAAAAAAACTTAGCTAACATTTCATTGATACTGCAATATCAGCAAGGCGACTAAAACTAAAATATATCATCAATTAGGGTGGTGGACCAATTGGAATCCCCTTTTAGATCAAATATAATCCAAGTTGAAGGACTTGTTACATTATATTATTACTAAGAACCCTTGTCACTGTATAACTGAAAAATTTGGGGTATGTAGGTTGGAAAATAAAAAGTTGTACTGTCGTGAAAGAAAGTGGCGTTTTTTGGCCAACCCTGTATTGTAAGAAGACTAACTAATCCACATTCGATTGAGTATCATATTAGGAGTGTAACACAAAAAGAGTGAATATGCAGCAAAACCACAATTTACATCACATTGTCGAAGTATTGATATCTCCCACTTGTTTTGTCTTTTTGATAACGAGAACCTCTTTAAAATCAGACCCATAAATGAGGGAACAAAAAATGTGATTATGTGTCTGAGCATCATATTTTCAAATTATCCATTCATATTAAAACATATAACTTTCTGGATCATTTCATTTTGATATATCTCTGTCGATCTGCCTAGCCGACAATTCTGGTTGAAGTGCTTGTTTTGATCTTCTCTAGCAACTCCAGGTTGTTCACAGTAAATGATTTGTCTAAAAATAATATCCAAAACGTCAAAAAATATCCAAAACTATCCAAAATATGGTAAACACTTTGAATATAATTAGCAATGAAAGTATTAATGGAAATAGAAATCCCGGTCTTTGTAAGTCACATATTAAAATCGGAATATGAAGAATATAAAACAAAATAATTACCTAGACAATATCCTCTGATAAAGAGAAAGTCATTACAACAAACTGTGTTCTTCACGGGGCAAAGGGGCGTGGAGCCAAGTTTATAACCGATCTTTTGAATCTGTCGTTGTTTTGTCCTAAATTAAAATGTAGATCTTAGGTCTGTAGGTCTAATACTTTGATCAGCTAATATAGGCTTTTAAGTGTTCAGATTACTTATGTATGGATACTTTGGTAATATGTCCAAGATGGTTTAATGAGACTAGACACATGCTTTCGTAAATGTCACAAAAGAGGAGGAAACCCCGGGATTCAGAGAAGACGTATGTACAAATGTGCATTGGGAAGACATCGTCGCCGATTGGTCAAATCGACAGACAATAATAAAGTCACTCAATGGTGGTTTCAAATATTTCCAAAAACGCTTCTAATAATATTATGTTAATTTCTAGCGTGACAGTTAACCAATGTTATAGCTTGTTATTTCACATCAAGATAAATAATTGATTGAATACTTTTAATTGATTTTCATCATATAACGTGGCTGATAATGCTGATGCCCAGCCACGAGCCCAAACGACGAGCTGGACGTACTACGAACGGAACCGTCGTACTTCAATCCTACAAGGGACGTTTTTACAACGAGTTGAACTGTCTGAGGAGGTATTGAGAACGAGGTAGAACTAATTGCAAACGGGTTTAAACTGATTAAGAACGTATTAAAGACTGCTTATGAACGAGTTAGCAAAAATATAGCTATCACACCAAACAAGTTGCCACCGCGTTCTTCAAAACTGGTGTTAAACTGTGTGCGAACGGAATGAACGTAGCTGCAACTTTCTAAGGACTATTTACAAACTTAATGAACGTTCTCAGACGGGAAGGTGATTTTAGAATTTTGAAATGATTCAAAATTCGATGGCGACCATACCGTTGTGTAATCAGGTCATGATGATCTTCTAGACTAAGGGACGCGTAAATACGACGTTGCGACGTGGTGCGACCTGAACGAACTGCGAATGAGATGGACGTAATGAAGACTGTTTATGACCACAACCAGATTGAGCCCGTTTTACGACGTTTTCGTAGGACTGGCAAGAACGGGTAAGAACTAGTTTGGTGTGATATGGGGGTAACCGGTGAAAATTTGAACAATCGAAAGTGATAGGCAAGGGACGTAATTATATCTGTCATCTCTAAGCGCTGGGGGTTCCCTCCTCTTAAGTCAATAGGTACATGTAGGTCACCAGTTTATATATGGTTTATTTGATCATATACTCAGTAGTAAAGGCGTACAGTTTTCCCTCATTTTGTCTAACATTTTGATAGCTATATTTATTCAAAATGAAACTGTTATCTTTCAAATAGATTTACTAGTATGAAAAACATTTTCTTTGTCATTATTGTAGATAATCCGACTGATCTAATGATGACATTTTGATTCGGAATTTCGTCATTTCAAAGTTGATGATATGACGATTATATCACGATTCTACTTTCATATATGCCATGTTAAGGGAGTATGTATGTGAGCCTCTTACCTATAACCTTTTTTCGAAGGATCCACACAAGTTCTCCCGTTTCTAGGCCCGCATTTTTTATACATGGCAACGTCTTGCGAAACGTACGTTTCCATTTCATTGAAGTAAAACTGCACCACTGGCTTTGGTGGGGTAATGTTGCAGCAAAGGTTTTTGCTTCAAAGAGTGATAAAATGACCATTGTAGTATTTATATAATTCGTGTTCATGGGGAAACTTATTAACAAAGTCTGCATAATAACAATTGACAAAGTGCAATATAGCCATTAACGAAGTACATTATAGCCACTAAGCAATGCATTTTGTATGGGCGATTGGTCATACGTATAGGTTGGCGTTTCGATTTTATATGCAAGCTTAAACTCCCTACTATTTCCTTAGAAGTTTTGGTTATTATATATGGACAAAAAGTGTACCTTTTTCCAACATCTACAGTTGATCCCAAGTTTCTCAGCAGTTCTTGGTTTGTAGTAACAAATCTAGTATCTAAAATTACATGATGCTTTTTAAATGATAGAGAAAAATTAGCTAAACACCCTCCCACCTTTATATTATGCATTCGAATAATACAAGATAGATTAAGACACGGCGTATGGCACGATAGAACTGAATGAGAACGGCAATGACCAGGTATAGACCAGGTATCAAACTGTATATAGATCCAGTCACAAAAATTCGACACCAGTGTTGCTGAATCATTCACGCGTTGTCTTTTACCCTCCATCTTGGTTTTCAAAGTTTTCAAATTGACCTAGTTTAAAACCAATCAACGATCGACTCGCTAAACCGATCAGCGACGATGTCATCTCAATACAGATTTACAAGCGTTTGTCATCTTTGAGCCCTGGGGTTTCTCCCCCTCTTCCTTTGACTAAAAAGTTAGGCTAACTTACCGACACAATGTCCATGGACAGCAACAAACCCGCTACAGCAAGTCACTTTGTCGGCTGGGCAAGTCACTGGTTCTGTCCTGTAATTAACTTGCTGTTTGTAGACATCTTGCGTCCTGCGAATGGAAGAGACAGCCTGAGAGATATGTATGCTCAAGTGCCAATGGCACTGTTCCACAGCCGGATGACTCTAACTGCAGTTTGCGTCATTCAAGATGGTTGCTGAGATTCTTTCGTTTTCGATAAACCTGCGATTTCAGCTAAACTAAGTTGAATCTGGATTCCAAAAGTTTCTCCATCCAAACGAATAAAGCTACGATTGTAAACAACCACAGATAAATGCTCTAACAACCGCAATATGGGTAGATTTTAAAGAAGGCACCTTCACTTAGAATGACTCTAACTGAACATGTCATCATCACCTTCAGTTAGAGTAATTCTAAGTGAAGCAGTTTTTCTTTCAAATTCTCTCACATTGCGGGTGTTTGGGTATTTATTTGTGTGTTTTTCACAATAATAGTTTTATTAGTTTGCTTGGCAAAACTTCTGGGATCAAGATTCAGCTAAGTTTAGCTAAAATCGGAGGTGTGTAGTTCTAAGACGATCGAATTTTGGAAACCATCTTGAATGACGCAAATTCAGTTAGGGTCATCCTGTTGTGGAACAGTAAGTGGGAGAGCACCAAAAAACTGTTACATAATAAAGCAAGAAAATTAAAACCAAACACCAGTCATAAAATAAAAAAGAACTATCCCAAATTACAATCTAACATATGAATAGAAGCAGTTTCTAGTACTCTCTCCCCTAAATTACAGTAATAGTATCCCAATATCACAACCCGAGATCCTTCGAATTTGCATCCCACTCGATTTATTACATATGTTTCTGAAACAATAACATACATCGGATGAATTCTCCCTATAACCAAAACCGTTCCTTTGCTAAGTTAACTTGTTGAGTTTTAATAACTTTGTTTGCATTTGTTTCCTATTTGCCTACCTGTATGCTACTGAATATACCGGACATGTTCTACCCTTTCTGGGACCACATTTCTTATATGCAGTTGAAGTGAAAGAAATCCTTTTTGTTCCGCTTTTTACAGAGGTGTAGTATGTGACCGTCTTGGATAAGGGAACTTTGCAGCAAGTATTTTCCTTACCTATGATAAAATTGGAAAATCCTTGAAATCTTTCGGCAAGTATTTGCCTTCATCTCGATATGTACATAAAATAACCCCTGAAAAACCATAGATATTGTTTGTAAAATACTAATTGATATGCAGAACAGATACTCACACATAATGTACTAAACATAAATGGTGGACGGTCTTTGGACCACAACCGGAAATGGCCGAAGATTTAACCAAGACATTTGATTGGTTCCTGGATATATCTTCGGTCACCTTGGTGATATAAAAATCTTCGGCTGCAAATCATCGATGCTGGCACTTTCATAAATGAGCTTATAGTTTATCTTAACCCATTTTCTTGTGAACAGACTACTTACTTTTGCAGTAGCCTCTGATGTTGACATATCCTTTGCAACAAATAATATTATTTTTTGGACAGGGTCGTGCTTCCATTCTATACGCAAACTTCTGCCTGTACGTGTTTACTTGCCTATGAAAGAAAATTCAAAATGGGTCGAGTCAAGAATTTTCAAGATGCCAGCTGCATTTCAAAGTGATCGCCATTTTATGTAAAAGAACTTAACCTCTGATAACTCAAATATCAGTTGACGGATTTGGTTCAAATTTGATTATGTTTATGCCTAGATCAGGAGTCATTACTAGTGTATCATTCCCGTGAAAACACAATCTTTGATAACTCAAATAGCGGGAGATGGATTAGGCTCCAACTTTGTATGCTGAATTCTTAGGATGAGGGTCCTCTGCTCGAGAAGAGATTTTCAAGATAACAGCTTAATTTCAAAATGGCTGCACCTTTTGAAAAAACGTTATCTTTGATGACTTAAATACCAGCGGACAGATTTGGTATATATGCTGATGCTCAGGGATTGGGGAGCTCTGCTGAAGAAGTATAAATGTTCAAGATCACTATTTATCGAAACGACAGCCATTTGTCATTAGAATGTGATCTTTGATAACCCAAATGCCAGTTGATAGATTTGGTTCAATTTTACACGCTGATGCCTAGGAACAAAAGAGCTCTGCTCAAGAAGAAATTTTCAAGCTGGCAGCTAAATTTCAAAATGGCTGCCATTTTTTAGTAAAATAACATAACAGCGATAGTGTCAGTCAGTATCACAATTCATCTAAGATAGAACACATAATTACAACTAATTAGCTATGTGATTACTGTGCAGACCGTTCACTACGTAATATGTTCGAATTGCTGTTTTCTAGTTATTGATATTTTAAAAACCATTCTCTCACCTATATCCATTTGCATAGACCAAACAAGTCCTCCCTTTTCTGGGTCCACATCTTTTGTATTGATTGATTTTACCCGTGACTGATTTTGTGCCAGATTTCTCCGTGGTATAATATGAAACCTTTTTAGGAGAGTCGTCAACTGAACAACATGTATTTAGCCTACAATGTTAAAAGTGGGTAAGGACTGAAAATAATAGATGTACAATAAGACAATATATGATTACATTGTAATTATTGTATTCTATTGTATTGTATTGCATTTGATTGAATGCATTGTGTTGCTATGTAGTCATATTGTAATGTATTCACCTTATTACTTGTTTATTTATATATGTATTATCTGGAATCAGCAGAGTGTCAAATGAGCTTGATCGACCATGAGCATGTGCTTCAAACGGAAAGCCTAAAAATGATTCTATGTACTGGTATGCAATATTTAATAAACTCACGAGCCTGGTTGAATGGCATCTAAATATTCAACTGCAGAATCATCTCCCTATAAATTGAAATAAACATACGGGTTAATATCGCAATTACATAAATCCGCCATCACTTTTCAGTTACTATTCTATGTTTTGACGTTCCAAAATTGGAAATATTTTAGTTTCGTAATTGTATTATGGTATTTTTACCTGAATCTGACCGAGGCACACCAAAATCCCAACGATTATAAAGGGTACGTGTACCGCCATGTCGCCAACTATGTTTAGCTAAACTCAGCGGGGTAATATTTAAGATATACAAAGATAAGTTATCGATATCCTGATGTCTTATCAAGGATGGGACCGACAATCAACATGATAGGATGAATATTGTAAACTCAAGGGTGGATCTGTAAACCTGAGACTAACATTAAAAATTTCATGATGGTCTCAGTGTAAACTAACAAGGGGGTAGAGCACATTTCAAGTCTGGAAAAAATTGGGCCCCTAAAACGGGCCTAAAACCCTAGCATTGGGCCCTTTTGAAAACTTGAAGCCAAATCTCTTGATAATTCGGCTTAAAATTAGAAATAAGGCTCAAAAAGGCCAAGTAACACCAAAAAGACCCACTAGCGGGGGGTCGAAACTACTGGAATAATCGCACCTTATGGGAATCTTTTTGCACTAGTAGATAGAAGGATATAGTTTGGCACAAAATTTGTTTGTAATTTGTGATAACGAAGTTAATGAAAACACAGAATGAAATCCTGTGTCAAACAGTAATGTTTGTGACTACTTTGAATTTAAAAAATAAGCAATCAAATGACCATATTGAAACAGTTTATGTAAAAATAGAAACATTTATATTTATCCTAACTTTTGTATACTTCAGATAGTAATGTATAATGTGCAGCAAAGCTGTGGCCTTTTTATTATTTAGGGAGTTTCAGCCATGTTAATTTTTCCGAAAATAACATGGCAGAGAAGTATCAAAATATAAGAGGACACAGATAGCTAAACTAGAAAACAAACTAAAATATACAAAAGTTAGGATAAATATAAATGTTTCTATTTTTACATAAACTGTTTCAATATGGTCAGTTTGGATAAATATATCACCTTCACCTTGACAACCATTCAACGAATATGGTTTAGGTAGTTATAAAATGCAGTGCAGTTATGTGAAATAGCGTGTTCGGATTGGCTGGCTTCGGACAAACCTTGTCTTGCTATGTGTGAATTATTGTTCATCAATTTCGGAGCTCATTGGTTTGATTAGTGGAGATCACAGTCCCCCTCTTTATCTAGGCAAGATGAACAACTCGGAAAGGAAAGTGTCTGATGCTGAACTTGCTGCCTGCCTGCTTAAGTTGCAGATGAAGTGACGGGCCTGACAGGTGGATGTATTAATCACAGGCTGGTATCGAAAAATTTGTCCGCTGTGACGGAGCGTGCTATTTTGCATAGAAACACTAAAAAACCCACACAATTAATTTTTTTACTCATATGTTTCGCTATACCAAAGCAAGTTTCTTACTCCATGCAATGGGTATATCATTTGCGGGTAACTTTAACTTTTGTTTGAAGTCCAACAACGCTAAGAGTAAGAGCTATTGAAAACAGCGCCGGGGTATCATGCTCCAAAATGTACCATTTCTTTTATTTCTTTTTAATGGTACAATATAGCGACACGATAATATTTACATATGTTTTAAGGATAACTCTGAAGGTATTAATGATATCTTGATGTATTGGGTATTTTTAATATTTTTTATAAAAAATAATGTTTACATTTTTGTCCGCTTTGACGGAGCAGTTTTAACTGTGAACTACGTTAAGAATTTAAGATTCAAATTATACCTTTTAAAAGTACCCTAAGAAGAAAGAACGTCACAAATCACTTCCTAAATTATGACAAGTAGCCTCTGGGAGATCTGGGGTAATGTAAATCTGAGATATAAAAACGACCACTCTTAGCATTTTTCGGAGGTTTGTACTGAAATCAACATGAATCAACATGGTGTAAACTCAACATAATATATCTAATACGTTTTCGCCAAGACGTCTTAGAATGTCACGTGTAGTGTAAATTGTTACGCGGAATATGGCATACATTCATGGTTGCGCGGTATTTGTGATACGGGTGAATATGCCATTCCGCAGGTGAGTATGCAATATTCCGCAGTGAATATGTGATGCATTGAATTCAGTGAATACCCGATACTCATCTTCAGAATATGTCATACTCACTTGCGGAATATGCCATATACAGCAGTTGAATATGACATATTCCGCAGTTGAAAAACGTGATACAGAAAGACTTGGTTTGATTGGTTGCGAGAATCGACTCTGAATGTAAAACTACGCTGGATTACCAATACTGTCAGTGCGTACTAATATATGAATCCTGGATTGATTGGGTAAGTTTATTACGTGAGATTGGTGAGTGATACTTCTGCATACGTTGATATCGATGTATTCGATAAACTGTACTGTTGATTCAGTAATCATTATAATAATTTATAAAGTTTTACTTGTTCGTTCAATCGATGCAATTGACAATTGCATACATCCGTATCACGTTCTCATTGGTTAGTGTGTATGCCATATACCACAGGTGAATCTGTCATACACCGCAAGTGAATATGGCATATTCGTTGCGGAATATGGCATATTTTTGTATCGTGTTTACCGCGTAACCATTGCATAAATAGGGATACTATGAATTTATTCGAAATAGCGCACAGACATCCTGCGTTCCGACAGATGTATAACCTTTTACCACATAATATTACTGTATATAAGTTACCATAAAAAATGACCATGTCAGGTGATGGATCCACAGTAGGCACAACGAAAGGCAATTACCCTATACTGAAATAAAGTTGACTATCATTTTCATGAGTTACCATGCATAACTTGGATTACAGTACAAACTGAGAAAAGAAGCTTAAAGAGTGGTCGTATATACATCTCAGAATTTGAATTGTGTACTTTTATTCCGTTTTATTTTTCAGAATACTTTACGAAAGAGATTTGATACGCTCCCTCCTCTAACGTGTAGTTATAAAGAGATATAAATTCTTAACGTATTTCAGATTTGAAACTGCTCCGTCACAGCGGACAAAAAAATTAAACATTATTTTTTATTGAAAAAATTAAAAATACCCAATACATAAAAATCTCATTAATACCTTCAGAGTTATCCTTAAAACATATGTAAATATTATCGTGTCGCTATATTGTGCCATTAAAAAGAAATAAAAGAAATGGTACATTTTGGAGTATGATACTCCGACGCCGTTTTCAATAGCTTTTACTCTTAGCGTTGTTGGACTTCAAACAGAAGTTAAAGTTACCCGCAAATGATATATTCATTGCATGGAGTCAGTAATTTTCTTTGATATAGCAAAACATATGAGTAAAAAAATAAATTGTGAGGATTTCCTAGTGTTTCTATGCAAAATAGCACGCTCCGTCACAGCGGACAATTTTTTCGATACCAGCCTGTGTTAATACTTCCTTTAATCTTCTGTATCAACGCAAGCTCTCCGACCCCCACCACCCCCCCCCCCCCCTCGACTACCTGCTATGTCTCTGGTGAAATGACACGTTCTGTAGACCTTGAGCTGTGATTTATTGATGTAAAGATGTCGCAGGTTTTAATTTTATGAATTAATGTTTTTCATACTTTAGTTGAGTATAGGTGTCGCGATTGTATAATTGTCAATTTGTTGTCATCCGGGCTTTGTCTTCATATGGTCATCTGTTTTTGCAGAGTCAACACCGTTCTTCCTTTATTTGATCTGTAAGCGGAATAAATACTAAATAGAAGCTTCCAGGGAGTCTTAATGTTTAACAGCATTTAGAACTTCACATCAATAACTTTTTGGAGTAGTGTCAATACAGTTACGCAACGGCAGAGGAGGGAAATTTGAAAAGAAAACTTCACTAACACTTTTCAACTTTCCGTTTTGAAAAACATGGCGGAAGTTGAAAAAGTTTTGAGTAGAGATTTGAACTCTGAAATGAAGCTGGAAGCAACGACTGTTAGGATCAATGGGCTAATCATGAAAGGACCGATATCTATGGTGAATGGGAGCTGCAACCCAGAAGAAGAAAATAAAGAAAACCAATCAAAAGTTCAGGTAAGAAGAATACACCTGGAATTCTGATTTGATTTTGACAGGTGTTCTTTATTTATTATTTTGATATTTCCATCTTTAGTTCAGGTTGAACTAGAAGGAGCTGGACAGTGTTTATGTTAGATATTGTTGTCATTGTATGTTGTTTTTCTCATATTCTGATTCTCCATGCTCATGACTTCACACACATAGTTCCATCACGAAATACACTTGTACATTTGACCTCAATCTTTTTACTTTTACCTTCGGTCAAAACTTTCAGAGATACATAATGTAGGCTGAAAGCATGGCTCTGTATAAGGTCAGGCTGTCAAAATTTATAATAGTATGACATCAGATGGAGGAATGGCGTAAAAATATGTATGCATGAAAATATGCTACAAGCACAAGTACATGTAAATCATGTTCCAATCTAAATAAGCCCTGCCCTCCTAGTACACTTAACTTCTTTTCCAGAGCAGGAACGCAAACCCTTACCCCCCCCCACCTCCCTCCTTTGGAATGAGAAAACATCCAGGATTGGCAAGGCGTGAATGCCACTTCATTAGTTTTACGGCATAGTAAATTATTAATATCATTAGCCTTTGTTGGAAGTATGCATTTTCTGCGAATATCGACACATTGTAATAAATGAGGTAGTACCTTCGTTAACATGCTTAACTCAACAACATTTTCCGTAATAAATGACCCTTAAGTAGCTTTTCTAGTATATTTTACCCTGTCTTCTAGTGTTTTTTTTCAATAAATCGCACAGATATCTCATATGTACATCCATATGTGATAGTATCGGAAACTTTTGTTATTAAAAATTTGTTTTTAGTATCCTTGTTTTCATTGCTTTGCCCCTTCATAAATTTTGAATAAATGTATTTTTGTATGCGATATTACCATACCGTATTATTTTTATATACAAATTTTGGCCATGTGCATATGTTGACCAATTCTGGTCTGAATTGTGAAAATGAGAATTTTGTACCAAATTGAGGAAAATCCTTTCTGGAACATAGCTTTCATTTAAGTTAAGTTATGAGGTTTAGCATAATTGTATGCACATATCTTGATTTGATATATTCATGTTTATAGATTCATATAATAATAAAGCCATCAATTTTGCTTTGTTTTATTTCTAGAATATCAACTTGTTTTATATATTCTTCCATATAAATAAAAACAAAACAAACAATGTCAACCTGCCCCCTACTATCCTTTTAAACTACCTGTCAGAATGATTGAAAGAAAATATTATATGTTAACCACAGATATATTCTCTGACTCCATTCAATGAAACCACTTCCTGAAGTAGTATAGACACTTTGAGTTGTTATTAAATATTCCTTTCTATGTATCTTAAATGTTATGAGGTGCATTTGGTTTATTTTATGATCCTAAATCTCTCTACCTGATTCATTATTTAGAAATACCCTGAGATAATCGTGCACTATTGTATTAGCCTCTGACTAAAACCA